CTTCAATCGAGGCTTACCCTAGCGGCGCTTGGTCCACACCAGGCGTCGCCGCCTTCACATCCGCGGTCGCCAACCGACAAGAAGCGCCGAAAATGGCGGACCAAAATCCCAATTTTCCCAACAATCAACATACAGCGAACGCCATTGAAAGCGCTGAACAGTTTCTGATGCTCGACGAGAATCCCGAAGACAGCCACGACCCTTTGCTCGACGATTTCTTGAACAACGTGCTGCGGGATCCCGATGAGAATACCGCCGGAGAATTCGGTGCTCGGTTTTCAGAAGCAGATTTGGGGGGAAATGTTAATGGTAGTGAAAGTGGGAATTTTTCAGATTTCGCACGGAATAATTGGGCTCCGGAGAACCCGATTCGGATCCCAATCTGGCCCATCCCGCCATCTCCTTACAGTTGCACTTGCTGCCAGACGCTTAGGGAATTTATTCATACAAATGGTCCGGTTTGAATTTGGTGTGCTTGGCTTGTGTGCGATTCGCTTGAATTGAAATGTGCTTGAGGTGTTCGATGAAATGTCTGTTAGAGATTATTGTTACTTTTCTGATGCTTTGTAATTTTTGATAGGTGCTCAAGTGCTGAAGCTTGATGTTCATGGAAGATTAGGACTAATCAGCCATGCTGTGCTTGAAAGATTTAATCGTAATGCGTTGCTTGAGGATCATGAGTTCTATATGTTCGAGTAAGCTTGTTAAACAAACTTCTGCTCGGTTTAATTGAATGATAATTGATATGAGATTTTTTTATTTTATTTTTCTAAGTTTTCTACTGTATAAGTTCTATTTTGAAAAATAAATCTATTTGGGTGGAATTATTACAGCTTCTGCCTGGAGAGCATAAGCAGTGTGAAGCATTTCCTGGTTCAGTACTGTGAAGATCGTACAAGAGAAGGTTATGTGATGTTGCAGGATCCTTTGTCCAACTTCTACAACGCCTTGTGCATTGGACTTGCAGATGGCAATGGTAGTAGTCAACAGCCCGACATTTTCCTTCCACAAACTTCAGGAGGTTTTAAGCCGAAACCCATTTTTCGTTTTTCTATAAATTTATTATCTTCGTTAGGCTAGAGTCCCAGAAGACCCCTTTTCATGTATCACTGGATCATGTCTTGTGCTGATAAGGTTTTCTACAAATATTGTTTAGCCATTTGTTTTAAAAACCGGTCTTCAGTCATTTCCTAAATGAATTGTCCGTTTTATCAAGTTCTAAAATTAGTTGAGTTGGTGTAAGAACCACGTTTCATCAACTACATACCGTGCTAATTTTGTAAAGAAATTTGCGAAGTAGCTTACTGAGGATAAGGCTATCATATTCTCAACCAAAAAATAGCTAGAGAAACATGTATTTTCAAGGGGGGAAAAACGGTTAAAAAGAAATTTCCGAAAGGTGAATTGTCAATATGCAAGATTAACCACAGAGCAAGATATTGTTAGACATAATATGACGAGCCTTAAAATCTTGATACAGGGGACAGGAATATGAACCAAGGAGACAGTTCAAACCAACCCGAACAAAATGGATGTGATGTATCTAAAAGCTATTTAGCTTCACAGGTTAGCAATAAGATTCCACAGACGTAATTTTATGCCTACTTTCTTCATTATGGATTTTTTTCCAGACTTTTAATGCTAGATTTTCTTTACGGTGCTTATGACGAGTAGAGCAGAGGGAAAGAACTGGAAAGATGAAAGTGAGTGATTTGGCTAAGTATTTTCATCTTCCCATGAATGTTGCATCTAGAGAAATGAACTTATGTGCTTCTGCTTTAAAAGGCATATGCCGCAAAGGGGGCATGGACAGATGGCCTTACCGAAAGGTGTACCTATTGCCATGTAATTTCTAAGTTTCTTTTCCCTTTTTCTAGATTACTTACTGTCTTGATGAATTCTGGCTCTTTGTAGATAAAAAGCTTAAAGGATAAAATATCCATGAGGCAAGAGAGATTGAATTCGAGTGATCCCAGCGTAAGAGCACGTGCTGAATCAGACATACAGAAGTTTCAAACAAAGCTCGCCAAAATATACAACTTCAGCCGTAAAGGGGATGGACGAAAATACTAATCGGTTATTCTATTATAGGAATAGATGTAGTGACATACAAGACAGGTTTTATGTGTTTCTGTTGTAATGCTGATCAGTTTAGTTGCAGATATATATATTGGTAAATTGTAGAGAATAGGTTTGATGAGTTTCTATTTTAACGTATCTATTGTTAAGTGTGCAGTTGTGAGTATAATGTATGTTAATTTACTAGAGATTGAGATGAAAGAGTTGGCACAGTATATTAATTAAATGTGCTTGTTTATAAGTTTTTTCTAAAAAAAATCTAATCTCTAACTCAAATTTAACTTCACCCACTATTTTTAATATTGTTAACAAATTAAATAATATAAATCAATCATCCATACACATCATTAAATTTAATTCACTATTTATCCATTCACATAATTTTAACTACATATTCCTCTTAATTGTTCTTTTCTACTTTTATATCAAATCTATTTTAATTATTTTATTTAAATATTATTTTAATATAAATTTAAAATTCCACTCAAATTTAACTCATTCAACTTTTTCGAAACTAATTAAGGTTAACAGAAAAAACCAATTAAAAAAAAATTATAAACAAGCTATTTCATCGTCTGGTAAGGAGTTGTCAATAGCAAATTTCCTTTCCTATTTTGCCCCTCAGTGTTCATTTCTTTTCCGAGCCCAAATAAAGGGGAAGATAGTCAAATTCCGCCACCGTACACGACGGCGACACAGTACTATGACCGCCGCGACCCTCCGCTCTCACCGACCCCTCCTCCACCGACTCGACCAATCTCTCTCCATCGTCCCTCATATAACTTCCATCCTCCAATCCCTAGACCCCCAAAACCCTAAAACCCACCAAAACCCCGACCCTTCAATCCTCAATCAGTTCTCTCCTCACCTAAACCCTGATTTAGTGATCGACGTCGTCAAGAGCCAAACGAGTCCTTACCATGCTCTCTTCTTCTTCACCTGGGCCTCGGGCCCCGCCGCGCTCCCCAACAGCTATCGCCTCCCCCACTTCTGCTACATCGCCATCACCGACAAACTCCTCTCGCACAAGCTCTTCTCCTTAGCAGCTGATTTGCTGAAAACCCACGACAGATTCTCGGATTTCATGGTGGGTAAGTTTATCAAGGCCCACGGCGATTTGGGCCACCTGAAATGGTCTGTGAAGCTTTTCCGGCAATTTAAAAATAGGGATTTTGACGGCTGCCTGTTTTCTCTCAACTCTCTTTTAGGCGTCTTGGTCAAGGCTCAGAAGGTGGGTACTGCTTGGGGGTATTTTGGGCAGGTTGTGATAAAAACGGGCCTTGTTAAACCTGATGTCTCGACTTACACAACCATGATCAGGGGCTTTTGCCAAACGGGCATGATCTGGGATGCAGAGAAACTGTTCGATGAATTACCTGTTGTGAAAAACTCCATAGCTTACAACGTCATGCTCGACGGGCTCTGCAAGAAAGGGCTCGTGGAAAAAGCCCGAAAACTTCTCGACCGCATGGCCCAGGACGAGTCATGTTCGCCCAATACCATATCATACACGACTCTCATCGATGGGTACTTCAAAAGACGGGAGTTTGAAAATGCATTGAATTGCTTTAATGAGATGGTGAGTGTGGTTAATTGCGAGCCTAATGTATTGACTTACAATGCTCTGATAAACGGGCTCTGTTTGAACGGGCTCGTGGACGAAGCTAAAAAAACGATGTGCAAAATGAGGCTGGGCGGATTAAGGGAGAGCATTGCAGCCCACACGAGCTTGCTAAAGGGATATTGCATCGCGAATAGATCGAGAGAAGCTATTCAACACTTTAGAGAAATGTTGGATCTTGGCATGATTCTTGATGAGAAATCGTACACCGTGATCGTGAAGGAGTATTGCAAGCTCGGGCGAGTTGATGAAGCCGTTGAGATTTTACGGGAAATGAGGGCGAAAGGGATCAAGCCAGGCACGGCTAGCTTGAACGCGATTTTGAAGAGTTACGTGAGGTTTAGAGATTTCGAAAAGGCGATTGATTTCTTGAGAAGGATGGCATGTCCGAATTTTGTATCTTATTCGGAGGTGATAATCGGGCTAGTACGGGCCGGAGGGAGTATGAAGGATGTGGATATGGTTGTGGGCCAGATGGCCCGTAATGGATATGGGCTTGATACGACATTGTATGGGCTTTTGATCGAAGGATATTGTGGAGAGGGAGATATGGTGAAGGCGATTAGTGTTTTTGAGGAGATGGTTGGGAAGGGTTTTGTTGTTGGGAAGGGTTGTTTGGAGGTTTTGGTGAAGGAGTTGAGGTCGAGGGGTTTGTTGAGTGAGGTGGAAAGTGTAATTGGCTTGTTGAGGAGTAGTTGTGGGGCTTGTGATGTTGAAGCTTATGAAAGTGTGTTGAATTAAGTATGAGTTAGAGCCAAGTGGGGAACAAAGGAAGAATTTGAACATATGCATCACGTGAAAAACATTATGTATGTGCTTGGTAGAGAGTTCTTTTCATTTTCTCTCCCCTCAGAGTCTATATCAAGAAGCTTCTTTGCTTCGAAACACATATGCAGCTTTCTTTTTTTACACAATTCCAAAATCTCTGTTCACCAAATGTCCGCTCTTAAGTTGTAATTTTATAGTTCAAATTGTAATCGAAACACATATTTGTAACAAAACAAATATGAGGGGTTATGGACATAATTTCCAGGACTCCTCCCATAAGTATGATTAAGAGAATATGCCTTATAAGAATCCTGCAAATCAACAATTAAATTTTATTAGTGAATTACATTTTTATGTATCATTAAAAAAATTAAGATAAAAATAAAGCATGAGGTGGTGATATAATTTGATAATTCAATTTTATGTGCAATATTTTGGNAAAAAAAAAAAAATGAGATGGCTCGGAGACGTGAGGTTTCGATGGTGGATTAAAAATAGTCTATCCATTTGTTTTAAATTGGCTTAATTGCCTATACAACCTCAACCTTTAGTATAATGGCAAATAAAACTCAACTTTTTTAGTTTTGCAAATAAATATCAAACATTTATTATGTGTTGTAAATTTGTCTCAAAACCATTTTCCGGCCAAGTCGAACTGACGTGTCTGAGCAGAAATCTTACTTGGCACTGATGAAGCTTTCGTGGCAGAGCAATTTTTCCACATCATCTTCCATGTGGCAATAAAACCAACAATAAAATAAATATCCTAATTCTTCAAAATTAAACCAAGAACCCTAAATTTATACATTTTAACTCTCTTTCTCTCTACATTTAAATGAATGGACTACATTGATATTAATGCTCTCATGTTCCATTTAAATGGATAAAAGTGCATCAATGTGGATGCTCTTATACCCCAAAAATATTCAATCACCGGGTTCCTGTGCAAAATGAAGCCCAAAGGATGAAGGATCGGGCCCAAGATGCGAGATCCATCTCGCGGACAACCCAAACGTACGGGATTAGGGTTGCTAATCACCTGATCCGTTGATCACCCAATAAATCTTCCCAACAAAGATTGACAATAACCTATATCGTCTGAATCAAAACTGGCAAAGCTGATAGCATCGCCCAATCTGTCTCATTCAATCTGCATGGAAACACGCGCCGTCACCCTACGCCTATAGCTGGCACTTAGCATTTAATGCGTCATCACTCTTTTTTGTATAAATATCGACCACTAGGTTCATCATAAAAGGAGGAAAAAAACATGGTCAAAAGCAAACACAATTGCAATCACTACCATTCTTCCTCATCTCTTTACACAATTAATGATTGATCTTCCAAAAAATCATATACAAAAATACTTCTCATTCTCGGTTATATTGACCGTACAAATTTCCTAATGAAATTCTAGAGAAACAATCTCTTTGTCGATCACCACAGCTGATCGACAATATCAGTTTCTTGTTTTCCTTTTAAACATATTTACTTTATTTTGATATTTGAATATTTGCATCTTAAAATACACTATAATTATATTGCAACTTTCGATTAAACCGCTTTAGACATATTTATGGTAACCAAACGTGACAATTGCTATTTTAAGTAGAGTGTTAATCCACATTCATGTGCCTTCTTCTATGAACTTGTAAACAATTTTGTCCCGTGGAATGAGTCATATGGGCATCAATAATTATCCATAAAGAATTGTATTAATATGTATTTCTAAAACTAATATACTTATGAATAAATATATCAGTGTATGGATAAGGAAGACCTCCTTTGTCTCCATTGAATTTATGACCATGCAGTGGCAAAATGCCAAAAAAAATGTTTGAAACTTTGATCGGATAATTCATGAATTGAAGTTTTTAAAGTAGAGTCAACAAGCCGAGACTGACAAACGTATGTACGTTTCTAAAGGCTTTTCTAAATCTGCATCACAATGCTATTTTACTTTAGAGTAACGCGAGAAATTTGTTCTAATGTTGTCATATATTTTTACACTACTTACTACTTTAAAAATATGAACAGTATTACTTTACATGTAATGAGAAATTTGTTTCAATATTGCACTATATTTTTTCACTACTTTGAAGATATGAACAATGTTACTCTACATGTAGTGCGGTACTATTAGCGTGCTACAGTTTTTTTTTTTCTTCAAATTTAAATTTTTTAATTGATTATTATTTCTAAATATTATTTTGTACATCAATAAAATTATTTATTTTGTTAAAAATTTAAATTTTGATTTTATAATTGTATTTAAATTTTATATTGTACTAATAAATTTGATAAAGAGTAAAAAATAACGCGAACGACAGGAAAAACAAAAGTCAAATTTTGACATTCATTACTCTAAAATGGAGACAGTTAAGTATAAGATTGAAAATAATCTAAAAGATATCATTTGGAGGGAATCATCGACAACAAATAATTTTGTGTTTCTTGAGCTATTTCCAAATAGAGATTGGTATTTTTAAAATCATATGCATATCCATTAGATTGCATTTTTCAATAATAATAAAAATCATATTGCAAACCCAAGAAAAAAAAAGTTACTCTGAGAGCACCTACAATGCTTTGAGTCTCTTTTTGTACATGTGGCATAGAAATGGATTTGGGTCTTAAATGACATGGACAAATTCAAGTAAAAAAACTAAAAAACTTTGCAATGCAAAAATAAAAATACTAGGTCTAGTATACATGTCAATCAATAAAAATACTCTAATATGTTTTATTCATTAAAAGAAAAATTAAATTAAGAACGAATGATGAGTGTTTGGGTTTGTACTTGGGTCAAAAATAGACCCAAATGTGGACTTAGTCTCTTTTTTCTATTGCCACATAAGCTAGATCATGTCCACTTTTAATTGCATTGGAAAGCATTTTTTTATATACTAAGTCTATTTCTCACATGACGTGTGATTTTTTGGGTACTATGAGTAATAATAATTTTCAAAATGTGAATCCAAAACTCCCTGCCACGTCGCCGACATTTGGACCAGAATCTTCTAGACTTGTTCCCTTTTATTAACCAGATCAACCCAGAAGCTCCTTCCCCCTTCTCCCCCTCTCCCTCCAGAAACTTCTCCTCTTAAATAAATTCCTACTCACCCACCGTCAACACTCATCAATTGAAAAATACACTCAAAAAAATACATTCAGAAATTCTCAAATCCGAATCAGTTTGAAAACAAGATTTAAGCCGTGAAAAATGGACATCAGGTTCATGGGACTTGACGCGCCGCCCCTCCTCCACGCCCTCCACACCATGCTCGACCCGGACGAGCCCGACGCCAAGCCCGGCAGCGGCCCGACCCGCACCTACGTCCGGGACGCCAGGGCCATGGCCGCCACCCCTGCTGACGTCATAGAGTACCCCAACTCCTATGCCTTCGTGGTCGACATGCCCGGCCTTAAATCTGGGGACATCAAGGTACAAGTGGAGGAGGACAATGTACTACTCATCTCCGGCGAGCGCAAGCGGGAGGAAGAAAAGGAGGGCGCCAAGTATGTGAGGATGGAGCGGAGGATTGGGAAGTTTATGAGGAAATTTGTCCTGCCGGAAAATGCTGACATGGAGAAGATATCGGCTGTTTGCCGGGATGGCGTGCTGACGGTGACGGTGGAGAAGCTGCCACCGCCGGAGCCGAAGAAGCCAAAGACTATTGAGGTCAAGATTGCTTGAGGGGCTGTGGCTAGAATTTTCGAAGTTTATATGTACTACTATCTATCTGCACATCTACTAGAGTCCAGTGTGTGTGCGTGTGTGTGTGTGTGTGTGTTTTACTTTTTTTGTCTTGTGTGTGTGTGCTTGTGTTAGATTTTAAGGTTTGGAGTCGAGTGGGTGAATGATGTTGGTTTGAGTTATCTGCACTGTGTTATCTTGAGTTGAATGATATAATATTGGTTGTATACTTGTATCAGATGCCAATTTTATCATCTTCTCATTACAAAGTACAAATCTTCTCATAAATCATAATTAATCTTGCAAATAATAATCAAAGCCAGACTTAAAGCAAAAATATTGAATTTTGGAAAAAAGAATAAAAGGTTCAATTTTGAATTCTTCTATGGTTGTCAAAAGTGACACAGGGAACAGCAGTTATTACACCGCAATAAAGTAGATCCTCTGCTATCGCTTTCTCGAGTGGTGCTTGAAATGCGTGTGCGGGTATATTTTAAGCATTTTGGCCACAAAAATGTTTAAATGCTTTCTACAACGACACAGCTTTGCAGGGTTTTCAACACTTTCTTGGTCATTGTCTGATGGCTGAGGACAGCATTTCCGAACAAAGAGAGCTATGAAGAAACCTTCTTTGTCTGCTGTTAGATCTGTCCGTAGCAAATGTTGAGCTGTGAAAAAGGTTGTTTTCTTATAGCTTGAAGAGTGACATGAGCAGAACAAATGAAAAGAAAAGAGCTGAACAATTGTGAAGTTATTAGCCAAATCAAATGCCAAAAGATACTGGCATTAATAAGTGAGATTTGTATTGCATCAAACTTACACCCATCAAAAATTGGGAGACCTCGGCGAGGCCACTGGGGAAAAGGCGTTTCCAATTGGAAACCGCGAGAAGAAGCAAGTTCCAAAACGGATTTAACAACATCTTCATTTTCGGTTTGATGAATCGAGCACGTGCTGTACACGATTCTCTCGACTCCTGGAACTGCCATCACCATATTCAGAAGACAATACTTTGAAAATAATGGAAGGTGTGAAAATATCAATCTAGTTGCAAGAACAGAGAACTTAGCCTCACAGGATAACGCATGTTCTAGAACCTTCTTCTGAAAGCCAGCAAGTTTCTGGAGGCGCATCTCGTCAGCATGACCCGTGTTTTCTTAGGGTACCAAGAAAAAAAAGGCAGAGAATTGTTATGGAAAGGTATCAGGCTCAGCTATACAAAAATGAATGAGAGAGAGAGAGAGAGAGAGAGAGAGAGAGAGAGAGAGAGAGAGTACCTGCATTATGGGATGGAAGCAAGTGATCTAATCTGTCAAAGGCTGTCCCTGACCCGGAACATGATGGATCTAAAAGTATAGCCCGGACCTGCAATATGAGCTATTTGAAACGAAAAAAAAAAACGTGTGTTTACAAAGATAAAAAACATGGAAAGGATTGTGATACCTTTGAATATGATGGATCCGTGGGTTCAAGATTTAAGAAGTCTTCATGCCTAACTACAACATCTGTACCAAGTTAAGTTCACCATCAATAAAGAAAAATATCGACTAAGCATGTGAAGAAAAAAGTACCTGTGTTAGATAAATCACATGCATACTATCCGGCAAACACAGAGAACTTGGATCTCTTAATTGAAAAATAAGAACATTGTCTAAACAACCATGATTTCCTAGATTAACAGCCATGATGCATGTGTTCACAGGTTTAGGGAAAAAGAAAATAGACGAGTAGGATACTTGTGGCCCCAGCAAGTTCGACATTATATTTCAGGCGTTTAACCCTTTCCTTGTTGAGCTCACAAGCTACAATTTTTCCCTCTCCTTTCATGAGAGAAGCAAGGTGGACAGTTTTGTTTCCAGGTGCTGCACAAGCGTCAATGACCTTCACAAATCACAAGTATATTTCTTGTATTACTGAACTGAAAGTATGAATTGAGTACATATGTTGGGCTTTAGAAAGGTATCAAACCTCCCATCCAGGTTTAGGTGAAAGAGCTACAGCAGCCATAGAGCTTGCTTTTCCCTAAAAAAAAAAAAGACATTTAGCTTCCAGTTCAGACTACTTAGGCCCTGTTTTCGTTTATGATTCGAAATATGGTAATGCAAAACACCTGCAAGAAAATACTTCCATTCATGACCAGAGGATGCTTGTGTAAATCAGCACCTGGTGGGAGGAGTAATAAATCTGGCACCATGTCATCCTTATGGACCTGGTTTCAATATATTATATAAACAATGTGATTATTTTGCAATCAGTAGTTGCTCCAAATTATATATTCCATACGTTGCGAGCCAAACATCCATGTTTCTAAGAATCACTAAAATGAATTCGGCCATCCTCAGGATCTTTTTTTGGTTTTCAATCCAAACCCTCCTTTCTCCCCTTGAAAGATGGCGCTTATGTATATGTTTCTTAAGAAATCCTTTTATGTTCCTCATGAACATATGTCACGGAAAAGGCTTTGCATAACACGCATCGGAAGAGTTTACTTATTTAAAATAGAATACCTCATATTCCTGTTGTAGTTCACGTATTGCATTTTCCATGTCTATCTTGAGAGTATTTACACGAACGTAACGAGGTTTTTGTGATTCTGCATGGAAAAAATATATATTGATTCAATTATAGAGCTCATTCATCACTTCAGACTGAAGTCTGGAAAATCCTCAATTATAGTTTTAGAAACAACTGGAAGCTGTACATGTTACCAGAAAATTTATTATGAGCGACCAAGTCTCCGACATTTTTCACTCCCTTGCGACCTAAAATTCGCGATAGAGCTGATCGCAATGCATTTTCCTTTAGCATAAGATACTTTTCAGCATCACCAGTTAATGAAGCTTCCTTTAATAATAACTAAAAGAAAATATTAGCCATCAATTTTGATGAATGTGCAAGTACGACAATGTCATTCAAGTGAATTAACCTTAGAGAAGTAAGTACATCATCATTTAGCTCACAACTATTTATAGTCTCATGGGTGAATTTTTTTCTTACAAAAAAGGAAACCCAAACCATTTCACCTGGCCAAATAGTAGATCATACGTGATGATACACATTAATTCCATCTGCTTCTGCAGAAACAAACAGAAAAATCAACCTAAATTAACAGACTATTATAAAACTGTGAAGAACAAACTACCTATGAAGAACCAACTATATGGTCACATGAGACATGACTACAATAATGTATGATAATAGCAGTCATTACTCATTACCTTCCACTTGCCACTTAGAACATTTGCCTCCTCCAAAACATCCTTAATAACCGATAGATCTACAAGTCCAAAACAGCAAACATCAAGCTGAAAATACTGCCCAAACAATAACAGAAAAAAACTAGTATCAGCTAATAATATAATCATTCCCAATAAGTTCCCAATAACGGAAGAGCTGATAATATAATCATTCCCAATAAGTTCTTGAGCTTCACCTGCCAGCCCATCAGATGAACCCAAAGTTCATTTCTTGTACATTACCATTTTAAATTCATTTCGATTCCAAAATGTCAAGCTTAAAACACTAAATATTAACTATACTTCATATCCCAGGCATAGTATTGATTCATTATTTCGTAAAAAATCAATAACAGAGCACTTTTCTTTTTGATCCATAGTTGCATTCTCACTCTTGCGGACACAACAGCCTTGCTTAATTTTACTGTTCGAAGAACTACCGCAAAAGATGTTGTACACGCTGCGTGAAGAATTGCACATTAAAGTACAAGGATAGCTGCTAACGTACGCTTGAGTGTTTGGCAAACCAGGGCAAAGGTAGCCTTTTTATTCCGGACGGAGGGGCTGTAGACGAGCGACTTGATTGAGCCAACGGCTCGGCGTCGAGCATCGCCCAGGAGCGTGCTGCGTAGCACCTTGGCGGCTTCTCTGCGGGCGAAGTAAGCCGACCGTTCGGCATTGCTCGGCTTTTTCTCTGGCTTCCGCTCTTTAGCCGGCGAGCTTCGGGCTATCATCGGCTTCCTCCGTGCCATTGCTCGATCTTTGACTGATGGTGGGGAAGATGACCGAAGTAACTCGTCGGGGTTTAGGGTTTTTTTTTTTTTTTCCCCCTTTTCTTCTGCTGAAAATTGCTACTTCGAGTTTGTCATTGAGCTGAAATCGGTCCTCTTGTTTTGTTGAAAGAAAAATAGCAACTCCACAATTATTTTATTTGGGATCTAATAATCAATTCATAAGAATCAAAACATGATAAATTTGACAAATGGTCATTAATACATTAAAAGAGACTACTGCAGACAAGAAATTTTATAAACTTAGTAGAAACAATTATAATATTATTTTCATGCATTTATTTTTCGTTTTTTTGCTTTTTCTAAACGTTAGTGAGTTATAATCCTTTTGTGTTCTTTTCAATTAGTTCATACCATGAAATAATTTTGTTAGTAAGTTATATTAGTGTTTTGCTTAGTTTAGCACTTTAAATGTTGAAAAGTGATATAATTAGTTAGCCGCAACGGTTACATAAATCTGAACCGTTCTTGATACAAACTAGTATTTACCCGTGCGATGCACGGGATGGTATATTTCTAAACATTTAGAAATATTAATGATTAAAGTTAGTGAACTTGTTATATTTGTAACAAAAGTAAATACGTTGGGCGCAAACTACAAAATTCATAAATTATTAAAATGTTTTTTCGTTTGATTTGGCGTCGAGTCATCGTCACCACAAACTAAAATTTTCAAACCACTTCGGGTGGTGACACGAGATACATCAACGTATAACTGTCCATGGCTGAACACAGGCTTCTTAAGAAATAAACTAACATGCGACAACGATGAGCATGTTGTCAGTTGGACACGACCTACATTCACAATATTGATTAAATAAAAACAATCGAATATTTTGACAATAAATAATTGTTTAAGTAGAAAATATAAACCTCCATAGCGTTTTGCTCCACATAAGTTCATTATCATTATCCATGGGCGACCATCAACCCCAGCATGTTGTCGTTCATGTTGAAGGAATTCTTCAACATAATCATTCCAAAGAGTGCAACTCAACTTGTTCTCCCTACAATAATTTTGAATCTCAATTGAATACATACAAATATTAAAATGATATTAAGGGAATAAAAAAAAGTAAATACTTACTCCAAGTCAATCAAATGAAAAACAATTATTCGAGTGGGACACCTTTCTCGATGGCTCCCGATCGTGATGCGTTTCAATAATTCGGACTATTCTCAACCGCAGAAAAGGTTTGTTGATCCTATTGACGGAATCGATGGTATCAAAGAACCACGCTATTTATATCTGTATTGTAGCAATTTATCTCTATATTTTTATGAACCACGGTGGGAAGGAGATGAAAAAAAAAGGCATGAATTAATACCTTTTTATACAGTATTTATCTGGTGGTTTAGGTTAACAAAAAATAAGGAAAATTTTTTGTAGTATATTAACCAAAAAAATATGAGGATAAATACATGGGATGATTGCGCGTGAATGGATACTAACCAAAAAGATTAAACGCAATTGTGCATGAATGGAACGAAAAATAGGGAAAAAATTTTGTAGTATATTAGCATAAAAAATTTGAGGATAAACATGTATTGATTGCGCGAATGGATATTAACCAAAAATATTGTACGCAATTGCGCGTGAATGGACACAAATAATTCCTCAATTTTGGCATGTGAAGATAAATGAATTGCGTGAAAATCTGATGCCAAATTATAAACAAACCATATCCAATGTTAGTGGCGTGATTAACAAAACAAAGAACGGATTTTAAATAGATTTAACAAAAGATGTTAATGGCGTGATTAATAAGTAGATATATTTAGTTAGTTTACTATATTAACACGTATCTTCACAATGTATATTTGAAACTATTCTATATTCATGGTTTAGATATTCGGATTGTATCTATTCTACTATTTATTTTAAATATAAAGTTTATAGATATTCTCGATATAACATATATCCATTCTATAACACAAAATATAAATTTCCAATAGCATTTTCACAATTAGTAAGTCAAAATATAAATTTCCAATAGCATTTCCACAATTAGTAAGTCAAAATATAAAATAATCCAATTTTTTCGTTTATCCGTTAAGTAGCTCGTGCGATGCACGAGGCAGAGATATTAAATGAGTCATTTCCATAGAGCTTGATCGTTAAGGCCTAAAAAATAATAGAGTTGGATAATCTATTTTTCACCTCTTTTCATCAGCGTTATTTTTTGGTCGGGACGTTAAAATTGAGCCTGTTAGCTCTCCCCCGTAAATTAAAATTGAGCCAGCTAATACTCCTTTCTATTACTTAGTCATTTTCTTAAAAAGTATATCGTGTTCAGTAGCGAGAGTCTTTCGATCATAATTTAATTCATTCAGAATTAGACGATTTGAAGTTGAATGCATACTATTAATATGTATTGAAGACACCTTTATAAAATAGGATGAATTTATACATTATTTTATAGTCAACATAATAATGGAAATGAATATTTATATCTCAGTTTATTAAAAGCTAATAAAAATGTATAATTTTTTTATTTCAGAAGCAGCCAATTTCTTCGTCCTCCTCTTCTTCTTCTCGTTTGTCCTCTCCTTTTAACTCTTCATCTTCATCCTCTGAACCATATATACTTAGGTCATTCTTTGAATCATATATACTGAGAAGATGATCGAGAAAGTGATATCTCTGAAAGCGGCCATACTAAGGATATTGCTTCCGAGGCTCGAGACGATAAATTTCCGAATTTTAATAAAGTCTACAATTGGAACAAAATCTCTTCCCCTTCCCTAGATTTATTAATCACTTAGTTATTATTAAATTAAAAAACAAAAGGATTTAGATAATAATTATTATCTACTTATTTGAATAATTAAGCTTTCTATTTAGATAAAAATATAAAATTAGTTACAAATTACCAGGAAAGATAATTAGAGAGAGTATTATATCTTTTCCTTCTTTTACCAATAGTCTAGTTAAGAGATTTACACAACAGTTGTAATAGAAAATGCTACTGTTCACCCCAAGCCAGAAAACTCAGTGATTTAACATCTTGAAAAACACAATAATAACCCATGAGTGTTCACAAGAACAGTGAATACCTTCAGTTCCGAGCTTTGGACCAGAAGTGACAGAGACCCACTAAGCTTCGGATCAATCACCAAACATTTGTCTCCTCGAACCTTTCGTATAAATTGCAAAAAAATAAACAAATGGGAACATCTTCACAAAAATTAAACGCAGAAGAAAAAACCCATCATCAACTGATCCCATTGAATTAAAAGATCTCACATGTTTAAGGATACTTTCCAGCTCCGTTTGAGCTCGAGCTCTGGAGTTCAAGAACCAACACAAATTAGACAATGGATTTTAGTATACAGTGATATTGAAATTATAAATGTTTCACATGAAGTTCATGCTGAAAAAAAGAAATGGAATCAAGAATTGTACCGAATAGAAGTGAGGTGGGGTTTGATTGCTGGAACTGCTGCTCCTTTAACGTATGGTGATAGTGAGAATAATCCGCAATAATCTGCAACACATTTGGAGAGAAATAATCCGCAATTTAAGGAAACAAAAACTCTTCCATTGCTATCCATACGTGAAATAAGGAAACAACACATTTATTTTCACGTAAAATAAGGATTGTTAAATGGAATATGGAACAGATTTCCTAAAAATCCTCACAATTGATTTCATAAGAAACAGATTTCATATCAACGATTAGATTCCATTGCTTAAAAAAAGGGAATATATAATGCTTAATTAACGGAACTATCCATTCCATCTTTCATTTGCTTAATTAATGGGATTATCCCATGCTTAATTAACGGAAATATCAATTTCATCATCCTTATCACGATTTTTTTTCATAATTTGATTGAGAATACATAAATAGAAAGTCAAAAGTCAACTCAATTATTTTAGGTTTCTAAAAATGATTTTTACATCAACCTTTTTAGATATATATAGATTGAACGGTTACATAAATCTGAACCGTTCTTGATACAAATTGAACCGGAACGACGATTCGACTTAATTTTTTTATATTATTTTTCTGTTATATTATTTTATTTTATATACTGGTTCCGCATCAATTCATTGAATCGATCGGGCCAATTCAAGGCCCTCCAAAATGTGGCCCGAAAGCAGCGATTTGACTCTGAACTAGGAAATGCCCACATCTATTAGTAAGCTCAGTTCGTTAAAATTCAAATTTGACTTGATTCTTTTGATAAACGAACCAAGTTTAGGCTCATTTAGCAACACTTTTGGTTAATGAGGTCTCGTTTACATAATTTTCTATAAACTATTACCTTAGCTCAACTTGTTAATATTGATACATCAAACAGAGTTCAATCTCGTTTATTAGCTCGACTGGTTAACGAGCTAGCTCGACTCCTTTACAACTCTAGTTAAATGTACTAGAAGTATATGAGAATGAATATAGTCATAGTACACCATTTTTTTCTATCTCCAAAGAAACTAATAAAGTGTGAACATTTTATCTTCAATGAAACTAACGAAGTGTGTACATTGTGCAGGAGATCGTGAGTTTGATACCGGCTTTTGAACGGCAAGCAAGCACCATGCACGGACACGGTACAGTTTTAATTGCAGTAAAGAATGTTTTTAAGAGGATGGACCATATAACTTGAGCTGTGTGAAGCCAATAGGTCGAGTCCACCAACAGCAAAGACATGGCCGTCAAGTGGACGACAGTCTACTGGTGAACATTTTTCATCTAAGTTGCCAAGCTATTTGGCTACAACAATGGAGAATAATGTATGGTGGCAAATTTTCTGTTAAAAAAGAAACAAAATTATGTGAAAACCCATATCCTCAAGGCTTAACAAGCCAAGCTCACGAAAATCTCATTTCGTTCAGCAACTAAATATTTATGAATATAAACAGCTACTTTAGACAAAAAAATAACCATGTGATTAAACCCTGGTGTCAAAGTATTTGTAGCAGAACTATGCACTTCCTGATGAGTGAAATTCTCGACAAATCAAAACAGTATAACATTCCATAGCCCAACATTCAACTTACAAGAGAATAACAAGCAAACTGAAAAGGTTATGTCCGGAATCATCATCTAAAAGGACGACTTATCCCTCGGAAAGTGGCGCTTCTTCTGGTGAAGCTTTTGATCAAGATAAGATTTCTACAATAAAATAAATCAATTTTTTCTCTACTCAAGGATTATTATGTACTTGGTTTGATTTGATTCAACCAACCACATTTTCATATCACACCAATTAGACACTTAAAGCACGTCTCATTCTTGATTTGCGAAAGGAGTAGTTTTTGTACTATCATTCTCTCTTGATAAGACTTCAATCATAAATGCTTCAAACATTATCCACATTCAATTTCCAATATAGCCACCACTAAGAACAGCTTTAACCGCCTATAGATCCTTCCATTCTCTTCATAATTTCATATATTGGTCCATAAAACAAAAGCAATCGGCTCGCCAATCTTCATATAGTAAAAAGTAAAAAAAACACCTGAGGGATTATAGAAATCTGCTAACTGGAAGTGCTCTGATCACAAGGAGATTTGAGCATCAACTATGTTTCAAGAGAGGAAATTAGTAACATGTTCCTACAAAAAAGTCAGATGTTGATTAACAAGAAACAAAAACTAGCACTCTTTCAGTTTGATTTGTTGAAGTCCATAATCCCATCAGCTTCCAAGAAGCGGCTAAGATGCTTATCGTCCAAATGTCTCTGCAAAATGAGGCAAAGCAATGCAAAAAGAAACACAAAGTGAGAGCCACATTGTTACATAACTTCACCAAGTTTCTAAAGCGACAAAAATTAATTTCAACCATCAAATTAGAAAGCTTACAGATAAACACTCTCTGTATTTCTGCCACTCGGACAAACACTCTTCTTTATCCCACTGACCTTTCAAGAACTTCTCCGAATACCACCTGCGCCGCAAAGACAAAATAAGACCGTCAAGACTCTTACACAGCTCGAATTTTCCAACTTACTCCAAAAAACAAGACAAACTTCAAAACCACCAGAAAGCAAAAAAGAAAAAAATCGAATCTCCCATTTTCAATCTATCCCAAAAAAGGAAAGAATCTTCACTAAAACTTGGGGAAGAAGAAATAAAAATTGAATCTTTTACTTGTTGAAGCAATTGTGATAAGCAGTTCTGAGATGTGCACAAGGCGAAGTTGCAGAGGCATAGGGCTGCTCTTGGTCTCTGAAAATCCCCATCTCCACCGGTTCGTGCAAGGCAGTGAACCGGGTTTTTACCCAATCATCGTTTAAGGCGCCGCCGTTAAGTCTTCTTCTTCTTTTCTTTTTCTCTCACTCTAAATTCTTCCAAATTTCCTTTTTCGCAATTGCTTGGGCAGGAGTGCAGACTGCAGAGTCTGCAAATAAAATGAAAGTTTCTTTTCAAAGATTATCAGTAGTTTGGTTTGTGGATCCTCATTGAGTGATCGAGTCTTGGCCCATAAAGTAATGCTGGATCCAGTGGGCCGTATACTCAACCCCTGCAGCCCTGTAAATGATGTATACAAGAGTACTTGGGCCTGCAGGCTGGATCTGACATAACTAGTCTCCACTTTCCACTCGATTTTAAAAGGCTGATTGAGAAACAAATTATATGATTTGACAATAATTGCACAAATACGACTCATTTAATTTTATTAGCATTATTATAAGGGTGTTACTATTCACCGCCCCCCCTTTTACTACTCACCGCCCCTCTTGGACAATTTTGCCCTTCTCATTTTTTCTAAACATATCAGACAATTTATGAAAAAATACGTGTCCGGCCGCCGGTTCCGGACAGCTTATAGCCCGTCCGGAACCGACGGCCGGACGGCTTAAAGACCGTACGGAACCGGTGTCCGGACGGCTTAAAGACCGTCCGGAAAGCATGACCGACCGGACCGGCCGTGTCCAAACCGGCCGGCCGGACGGCAAGAAAGCCGTCCGGAAACGACGGCCGGCCGGAACCGGTCCGTCCGGTTCGGCCGGCCGGTCGGCCAATTTAATTTTTTTTTTTTTTTTTTATATTATGTTATTATTCGAAATAATTATGTTTAAAAAAAAAAAAATTGAACTAGTTATATTTCATATGATATTAGACTGTTACGATTGCATTTCTTGATTCTTTGTACTGTAAACTGACAATATTCATTTATTAAGATATTCTTTATTTTTTAGATTTTTTTTTTTAATATTCTTTTTTAAAAACACTGTAAACTGACAATATTCTTTATTTTATTTCTTTGTTTGAATTATGATATGAAACTATTTATTCACTTTATTTTTAAAGGTATAATATTTTAATTTAAAACTAATATATATTTGTTGAAAAATTAAATGTTCTCGCAACTACATTCTGCATATGCGCGTTTAATAATATTACAAAGTCAGCGAGTGATTTTTAAAACAACTGAGAAAAGATCAAATAATTGGCTCTATTTTAATTTTTAACACAACCATAGCCTTAGGAATGAAAGTAATATATGATACAGACTTCTTTCGGGTAATTTATTTAAAAAAAAAATTGAAAAATAAGTGGACAAAAAAAAAAGAAAAAAAGGGGTAGATCGAAATCGAAAGCACTTATTCACAAAATACGGTTTCTTAGTTTAATTTTTTAGTGAAAAACGTATTCTGTGAATACGGTTTTTAATTGAATTGTTTAATTATTTGAAAAACATATTGCCGAAAAAATGTAAATCCAATTTGAATTTTAAACCGTATTTACGAAATACGTTTTACGAAAACCCTAATTTTGAATTATTATGTTACTTTTTAGACTTGATTATGATATAAATTGGACGTTTATCGTGTTAGGAGTTACAAATTATTATGTTACATGTTGATTATAATATAAATTGGACGTTTAGATATTATCGTGTTACGAGTTAGAAATTATTACATTATATATTAGTTTTAGTTATGTTATAAATTGACGTTAGATAGTATCGTGTTAAGAGTTACAAGTTATTGTGTTACATGTTTATTATAATATAAATTGGACGTTAGATATTATCGTGATCGTGTTAATTTTAACCCAACTCCATCATCTTCAATATTATCAATATAATTAAATAATATTAATCAATCATTCTTTCACATTACATTACCTTTAATTTACTATTCACTAGTGAGAATCTCGTGCGATGTACGGGGGTTTCGTACCTTAGAATATTTTTTTCTAAACTTAACTGTAACAATACATTAACCCCTTGACCCGTTTATGTTAATATAAATAATATTTTGACATATATTTATTTGTTAATTAGAAAAAGTAACAATTTTACATATTTTAGTTCGTCATAATACTCAAATTTTATTTTATTAAAAAATTTATTATCGTATAATATCATTATTATTTATAACTGTTATAGAAGTAATATTTTTTTATATATATATAATGATAAATATTTAATGTATTAATTTAGAAATATATAAGCAAATTTAATGTTTGTGAGGAATGTGATTATATGTAAGTTAAGATAAAATGAAATGCATTAAAAAAATATGCTTATGATATTTTTCTTTAAATGTTTGATGAATTTGAAATTCAAATTACAAATCAATCGTCAGTTTTTTCACAGAATTTAAAAAAAGTTAATAATTGTAGTAAAATAGAAATTATTAGGCGAGATTTTACTTTATACTTAAAGTAAATTCATTTGGATTTAAAGATCTACCGCAATCCATAAAATTTTAGGAAAAGAATTTATACAAAATTTATATCGAATGCAAAAATATTTGGGCCTAAAAATTATGAAATAATAATCTGAATTATAGGTGATACCTATTGTATTATAGTATTGCGTAAAATAATGTATCATATTTTATTTTATTTTTTTGAAAATTTAAATTTGGAAGCATAAAATTTTGAAAACATGATTTACTTTGATAATGGTAGATATTTGTAATGATGGAATCTAAAATGTAAAAATCTTGTATAAAAAATATCAATGGTTGAATACTTAATATTTCAAATTGGGCATTTGAAAACGTGTACACGATTTCTTAAAAATCAAAATTATTTTTATAATATTTCCTTAAAAGGAAAGTCAACCATTTGATTAAAAAGTCAAAGTTACTATTTATGTATTTTTCTAACAATCTTTTTATATTAGTATAAGTTCACTCAGATAAGTTTAACTAATGAATCAAAGTTACTATTTATGTATTTTTCTAACAATCTTTTTATATTAGTATAAGTTCACTCAGATAAGTTTAACTAATCATTACTTTATATCATCTCTCTCCTACTTTTACATCAAATCAAATTTAATTATTTTATTTTAAATATTATTTTAATATAAAATCAAAATATCAATAACAATTAGCCATACAATTATTTTCAAAATTAACTCTAGTAACTAAAAAAACTCATTTTGAGCGGACATATTTATATACATAGACATGGCCAAATGGCGGGCCGGTTCCGAAGGGTTGGGTTTTGTCGACCCTGAACCGGCACGCCCTAAACCCGTGCCGGGCCCATGACCCGGCCGACCCGAGTCTGACCCGAAAAAATTAAAAAAAAAAAAGAAAAAAAATAGAAAAATTCAAAAACAATTGATTTTTCCCGTGCCAAACCGGACCCGGACGGGACCCGGCCCGGCCCGCCGGGTCGGTGTCGACAAAAAGACGACCCTGAACCGGCCCGGTTGAAAATCCGAGCCGGGCCCGGACCCGTGGTCAACGGGTTTGACCGGGCCGGGTCCGTGCCGGGTCTGCGGGCCGGTTGACCCGTGGCCATGTCTAGTCTCTGCAAGGCGCTAGGAGGAGTTCCGACGAAAAACACTCTGACACTCAAGTCATTTCACGTTCAACAATAGTGCAGCAATAATATATTTTTGCGCGTGTATCTGTATTGTGTTAAAATAAAGAACATGTATATCCTTTTATAGGTAGGGTTACTTGGGGAGTAAGAGACTCCTAACATGGTAAGAAGTCTTCTCGTATCTTCCTTCCTAACAAATGAATCTCCCCATATCTTCAGTCTCTTTTTTTATATACACTCTCCATGTTTAAGGGATTCAGTTTCCTTCTTCTGCACGACTCAAATCTAATGTCTTCTCTGCATCCTCAAAGCCTTTCAAGCACAAGTACGTCGAGGTCGTCACACTTTCCTCGACCCCAATCGACCTACCTCGAAGTGGTCTTCCCACTGGCTGTGCTAAATGCTTCGATAGATCCTCATACCTTTAGTTTGTACCTCGATCCTTACGAGTCAAGCCCGCATTACCGAGACGAGCTCTCTTTAGTCGCACAACAACCTTTTTAGTTCGGGCTGGTGCCGAGCTGACCTAAACAGGCAAAACCTGACCCCTTCTCTCGTCGAGGGTGACCTCGGAGATTCGAGCGACATGCTCAGGCTGAAGGTCGTCAGCAGACCCGAAAGTTCCGAGGACGTTGTCAGACTCAGGGGTCCTGAGGTTGTTGCCTTATCCCCACAATCCGACCTACCTCAAGAATGTTGAGGTCATCGACCTGACCTCAACTACCAACCTACGGGTCTCTTATCCCATATCCGATCCTTGTCGAGCTACAACATTAATGTTTTTCGCGCGACCTACTTTGCCTTGTTGTATCAATATCAAAGAATTATAAATATGTCTAATATCATTTACCAAAAAATAAAAATATGTATGTGTCTTAATTTATGCAATGGAATTCTCTCTCTTTCATACTTAACTAATTTACCTTAATTAAGAAAAAAATAATCCCTAAATCTCTCTCTCTCTCTCTCTCTCTCTCTCTCTCTTTGAGTGGACGGCAAATGATGGTTGTAGGAGCGGACGACAGACTCCAGACCATCGTCGAAAAGGTCATCAGAAAGGTTGGTGGAGGGGTTGGGGTCGAGGTACCTGGTCCGGTGGAAGCAGGACTTGAGTCGGTCCAGGCCTGAAGTTTAATCGCCATTCTTGCAGCCGACGAGTTTGGCGGAGGCGGGAGGAGGGAGGAAGGGATGGTTGTGATGTTCGGTATAAATTGGCGGGGACAGGGCAAAGAAATGTTATATAAATAAAAACGCAACATATACTAAAAATATATTGACTATAAAAGAAACATATATATTGAAATTATTCTTGATGGGTCCTCTCCTAGATTTGGATCTAACCGGTGAGAATGAGCTTCGATCTGCTTAAACCATCACGAACCTACCTGTAGAACTCAACGCCGGAGGATTTTCCAGAAAAGAGCCTCTGATGCTTAAGTCAGTATCAAGAAGATGGTGGTGCTCTATGAATTAGAGCAGTATGCAATGTATGGAGAATGTAAAGTCGGTATTTGGTGATACCTTAACCCTTTCATAGGGGAAATACTTGCCTGAAATGTCCTGCCCGAGTGCCTTCGGTCAGCTTGCCCGGCGCCCGAATTTCTAGTGCTTATCCATATCCTAATCAATTCTTAGTCAGATCCTAATCACCTTAAGATTCATTCTTATCCTTTTAAGATTTATCCTTATCCCTTAAGCCTGTCAGATCTCGAGGCCTGAATATTTTCATTGATACATACCTCGAGCCATTGGGCGAGTGAGGTCATCTTCGAGACGATGAAGGTTGACTTGGGTCCTACCTCGAGATATCGAGTCGTTCCGCGTCTACTTCGAACTGAACTGCTATGATTAGATTGTCATCTTCCTAATCATTGCCTCCAGATCATCATTGAGATCCTTAAGTTATTCGTTGTCCCTTCGCATGTATCAAGTTATTCTACGGTTAAATCCACTTTCTAAGTAGTCATCCAATAAGTCGATGTTGAGGGTCCTGAGTCGTATGAAGTAGTCCTTCTTGTGGTAATCATTATGCTCCTAGGATATTTATCTCAAGTCGACATGCCCAGCTCGTCTTACAGTCTGGTCGAGCTACCAACACTTAACCCGATCTACACTCTGATGCATGTCTTTTACAAAATTTTGACGCTCGTTGTTACGTTTTGATGTGATGTAGACATTTTTAGTTGATATTGGAGAAACAATGGTCGAGCTACCAGCACTAAACCCTTGTTTATAAATTTTTTTTGGGTTTAATTGGTTTTTTTAGTTAACCATAGTTAGTTTTGAAAAAGTTGAATGAGTTAAATTTAAGTGGAATTTTGAGTTTGTATTAAAATAATATTTAAAGTAAAATAGTTATAATCGATTTGATGTAAATTGTAGAAGTAGGAGAGAGGTGATTGGAAGTGATGAGTAGCTAAAATTATGTGAGTGGATGAATAGTAAATTGAAGTTGATGTAATGTGTATGGAATTGATATCCCTCTTTAATATTCATTCAAAACATATTGAGCCTAAGCGGCAAATTTTCACGCTTTGAAATGCTGACATGGCGAAAATCTATGCTTTGTAATGTTGTTTATATATTCATTTTTTATTTTTGCTCTTGAGTTAGGCTTGATATTAGACATAAATAACTTATTTCAAACTTGATAAGTGTATATTTAATTTTGTTATTTTTTCTCTTAATACACATTTTTTCTTAGTTTGGGCAAGTAGCAATCTTACCATATTATAATTTTCTCTCCTAAATTACGATTTACAAATCACTTTCTGCATTATCTATTCCTCTTTTTTTCATCAATTAGTCCATCAAAATTTTTAAATAAAAAATTAATTTTAGCAATACTTTTATTATATATTTCTTAGCTCAACACCCGTGTAGTACACGGGTATTGTACTAGTATATTATTTAATTATATTAATGATAGTGAGGTTGAGTTAGGTTTGAGTTGAAATTGAATTTTGTTAGGAAAAACTTATTTCAAGCACCCTTAGTATCTTGATTTATAAGACAATATTTTAAGGATAATTTAAAAGGCAATGTTTGATTACCTTCCTCACGTATGTATAAGACCGAATCCATTCAACTCCTTACTCAAGTTCCCCGTCAAGATCAAAGAAAATTCATCAATTCCGCTTTCCTTTTATTCTAATTAATTCAATTTTCTTAATTCATTATTGAATTACGATATAAATGAAATGTGAAATTATTGAGTAGTCTTTTTTCTTCTCGTCGGAGTTATTTCACAAAAACATATGGCCTAATGATCTTTTATATATTTTTCCGGTAATATTTCTAGGTATTGTTGCATGTAACGTAGGCTTGGTCATCCATAACATAATCGACAACCAAGATGCACTCCTTGCCAATGTATGGTAAAGATGTTCTCTTGCCAACCGGACATGTTTGTATCATTGTATGAGATTATGTTTTATTGGATTTTCACTGGCGCTGTTGTATTGGATTTGTACTGGACATGTTTGTATGAGATTCTGTTTTATTGGATTTGCAATGGCAATGTTATATTGGATTTGCACTGGACATATTTGCATGGGATTCTGTTTCATTGGATTTGCACTGGCAATGCTGTATTGGATTGACAATGTTGCATTAGTTAGCCATGTATTAGTTTGCTCTATTTGTTGTAATATGCCATTGAAAGCCAATGTTGCATTTAATAAAACGTACTCAATCCTCAAAAGGTTGTGCCGGATATTTAGTAAGTTTATGCATCAAAACAATTTTTTTTCCTAATGAAACCAAACTCCATGACATTATAGTAACTGCAAAACGGGTAACTGCAAACAAACTATCAATAATGATGAAACCAAACTCCATTACATTATAGTAGCTGCAAACAACTATCATACATGTCTTGTAGTTTTCTACATATACATTTATCTAAATCTAATAAAATAACAAGATTTGAAAATCAACAACAATAGTGAAAGACAAATAATAGCAGTCCACATTATTTTAACACCAATCTTGAACACATTCAGCTCATTTCGCATATCCTCCAACTTTCTCATTGCAGCAACCAATCGAACTTCTGCTTCACTTTCTTTCATATTGTATTGCTCAATTTCATCTTTATATTTATTTATTTTTTCAATACACCGGGTATAATTTTCTTGGCTCTTTCACAAATTTCAGGAGTCAACTAAAAAAAACAAAAAAAATTTACCCGATATTTGGGGCATGCGCAATATCTCCTTCCTTGATTTCTTCGGGTCCAAGAGGTCTTCAAATGCACTTTAATTTCACAATTATATGTCATATCCATCGTAGGCACATCATTATTCTCAAAATTTTGAACTGCCATGTGAAGAACTCATTTTTTCAGCTGATCGAGAAAGTGGGGAAAAATTGAAGAGAACTGTTTAATTTCTAGCTTCTATATCCAATATGATGATCGGCTCTAGAAGGCAAGCCGTCCATTTCTAACGGTCAAATCACGAAATATATCAAATCACGGTCAAATCACATCATATTGATTAAATTGAAAAGTTGAGTGCCAAAATTGAAAATTGAGTAAACTTTATATGAAAATGATTTTTTCCCATTTTAATTTTATTTAAGAATTTTATAGTCTATACTTATATAATAAGGTGTACCATTTACGAAATTTAGTAAGTTGAAAAGTCAATGCAATAAATGCATTACTATTTTGAGCAATCATAATATAATATCATATCTATACTTATATAAAAGGAGATTATATTTACTACATTTACTACTCAGAAAAGTCAACTTTATTAAATGCCATTACTATTTTGGTATTATAATATTTTATTTATTTAATTGATTTATTTATTTGTTTTATTTTAAAAAGGTAAGTATAATAAAAATATTTTAATAATAAAAAAATCAAATACCAAATAAAAATGTACACTTTGACTTATTTGATTATATTTGGTATTTGATTATACCAAATATATTCCTATTTAGTGTGTACATTAAATACTTACTAAAGTATTTATTTGTTTTATTTGTCAAAGTTAAGTATAGATTTGTTTATATTATCAAATCATAAAAAAATATTAAATCCATATTGTAAAAAAAAAAATCATATAATTTTATAACAATTCTACTACACTATTTAACAATATTCCTTTTTTATTATATAATAAAATAATAATTAAATATTATATGGTAAACAACAATAAGTAGAACTGTTACTTTCTCTTATATCAAGTGATAAATTTATATGCTAATATTAAATTTCTATTAGTATAAATGTTTTAGTGAGATAATATATTAATTATTTTACAAGCTAGCCCTAACATGTTCATATTTAATGTTTTAAAAGATGTAGAAAAAACTTATAATAACTCTATTGTTTTTTAGACTTAAACGTTGATTAAAAGAGGTAAAAATTCCTAATTTTTTAGATTTAAACGTTGATTAACACCATATGAGAGTCTATATTTAGTAAAATTCCTAATTATAATAGAAAATTAATTTTTGCTATATTTTAGAATATCTTTAAATTCATTATAAAAAAAAAAAACTACAATGAAAAAAGCAAATCAGCTATATATCGATTTGTTGTACTCCTCAAATCACATTCATAATTTGGCTACAAGAAAAGGAAACTCATTGATTAAAATATTATTTTATCAGTAGTCTTAGTATACAAGAGACATGACTCCACTTGAATATTATAAAATTTTTATTGAACATTGTACAATTTTCTTGCGTATTATAAACTTTTATTGAATATTGTATCTTATAATATAATATTCTCCAAATAAATATATCCCGTGCTTCGGGTCACGTATTATATATATCCCGTACATTATTCTTTATTCATGTATATAATTATAAGCCTGGATAAATAGCCTTAAAATTGTGCACCCCGTGCATCGCACAGACTCTGTATTAGGTATTACTCTAAAATCTAAAAGTTTTAGAAAGTATCAAATTCCAAAAAGTCTCAAAATATCACTTTAATAAAATCTTAAAAAGTTTCAAAATATCACAGTTTTAAAATCGCGGTAGCGATGCACGGGCTCTGTATTAGTATTACTCTAAAATCTAAAAGTTTTAGAAAGTATCAAATTCCAAAAAGTCTCAAAATATCACTTTAATAAAATCTTAAAAAGTTTCAAAATATCACAGTTTTAAACTCGCGGTTTTGCTATAGAGCCAACAGTTGGCTTTATAGTGGAGTCAACTTTTTATGAATATGGTAGGTTTATTTGATGTATATAGAAGGTTGACTCCAATCGTACTCAAAATCTCAATCGGATGTGACCTCTCAACACACGCACCCCAACTCTATATAATGCGAATGCGGGGTGAGATTTGTTCCTTCCGACTTATCACCAACTGTGCAGAGATTCATAGTCTTCCATCGAACAAAATCTTCAATCTTTACAGAGGTCGAAATGGCGGAGCAGAGCCACAAGCACTCCCACTTCAAAGGCCAGCCGCGACTCCCCAAATTCGCCGTTCCCAAGCGCTACGATCTCAAGCTCAAACCCGATCTAACCGCCTGTAGATTCTCCGGTGCCGTTCAAATATCCGTCGACGTTGTTTCGGACACCAAGTTCCTCGTCCTCAACGCCGCTGAGCTCGCCGTCGATCCTAAATCCGTCACTTTCACATCCAGTGATGAGGTACTGGCTCAGGTGGCGTCCTCTGGGTTCTTTTTTTTTTTTCGTCATGGTTGGCTCGAAAAGTCATTGATTTGAATGACAGACTCGTAAAGATTGAATATTTGTCGTCAGTTATTGCTTGTTGAGAGAACAATCGATTTCATTCGGGAAAGGATAGTAGTCGTTGAATATTCTTGTAAAATCACGTATTATATCCTATTGAGGTTTCTTTGATTTGTGTAGTCATAATTATTTTGAAACAGTGATATTTCCCATATTGATTTAGTGAAGATTTTGCGCTCTTGTATGCTTCGTGGTGATCCAAGATGCATGATAATGTTTAAGGAAATAAAGTATATATGCCTGTTAATTTCTTTGAACATTATTTTTTTTTTTGTTCTTTAGATGGGACCATAAGATCAAGTTGTTATCATGAAAAAGAAATAAATGAGATCCACTGTATCTTGACTTGTGATCCGCAATAATGTTCCATTTGTCTCGCATTCTGATTTTGATCCGAAGAAGGACTCTGGTAGTGTTTTTGCAAAAATATTGATGTTTCACACATTGCTTTATATTTTTATCCTGGCTGTTTTCAGGTTTTGGAATCAGTAGAGGTAGAGTTGCTTGAGGATGATGAGATTGTTGTGTTGGAATTCAAGGAAAATTTACCAGTTGGTGAAGGTGTTTTGAACATCGAATTTGAGGGGACTCTAAATGATAGAATGAAAGGCTTCTACAGAAGGTGATTTATCTACTTCATTTATGTACTTTGTATCACTGTTTTGACTTACATTAGTTGTTATTGCTGTTTACTTGTGCTACCAGATATACTTATTTTTGGCTAATTGGGCATCAGAATTAATGTTCCTTTATGATAGATAAACCTTGTGTTGGAATTATTAATCCATTGGATCCAATACTGCTTTAATATGTACATCATGCATAACATGTCTCAGCGACTTGGAATTCATATGCTGAGTTATTCATAAGAACATAGCTGAAGCAGTGGATTTTATCTCTTCCAGAAGTAATTCAGGATAATGTTTAATGGGAATGTCATTTCTTGATACACCAACATAACATTTTAAAATGGGGAGCAGTGTCCTTTGTGTGTGTTTTAGGCACATAATTATTGAAACTCGTATAGGTATGGTGGAGTTTCCTTTGTTTATATAATGTAGGTTCTATCAATTAATTATCAGTTTTTTGTGGTTCTAAATGTTTTGATCCCTTAATTCAGCACTTATGAACACAACGGCGAGAAGAAAAACATGGCTGTGACTCAGTTCGAGCCGGCTGACGCTAGGCGGTGCTTCCCCTGTTGGGATGAGCCTGCTTGCAAGGTACTTATTGCAGTTTCTTATCCTAGTGCCTGCCAACCACAATTTTCTGTTATTTCTGTTTTTTCAATGATGAAAACAGTAGCAAATTCAAATATGTAATAATTTTGGGTGGTGCATGTGCTAGCTTATTCCAAGTTATTCTAGAAATTATCTCTGACATTTATCACACCTCCAATTACAGGCGACATTCAAGATTACATTAGAGGTACCATCTGAGCTGGTAGCACTTTCCAACATGCCAGTCATTGAAGAGAAAATAAATGGGAATCTAAAGACAGTTTACTATGAAGAATCACCAATCATGTCCACTTACCTGGTGGCAGTTGTAGTTGGGCTGTTCGATTATGTTGAGGATCATACTCCTGATGGTACGTTTGCAATTTTCCATTCTATATCATGATTAGGTTATCTTTGTTGAGATTAATATTTGCCTTCGTGATTTGTGTTTTTACAGGAGTTGTTGTCCGGGTATACTGTCAGGTTGGCAAGGTTAGTCAAGGGAAGTTTGCCCTGGATGTAGCTGTCAAAACACTTGGCCTTTATAAAAAGTAAGCTACCTGTGAAATTATTTCATTTGCTTAAAATTAGCGTATTTTTTAAGGTCTCTGAGTTTATTGACAAAAGAACATTAATTACTCAATTAAAAAACATCAGGTACTTTGAAGTGCCATATTCTCTTCCTAAGTTGGACATGATTGCCATTCCTGATTTTGCTGCTGGGGCCATGGAGAATTATGGTCTTGTTACATACCGAGAAACAGCTTTGCTTTATGATGACAAGCACTCGGCGGCCGCTAATAAACAGAGGGTAATATCAATTTTCTTGATAATATGAAATTACTTGGATTCAGTTTATAGATCGTGTGTCTATTTTTCTTGTACTTCACCATATGGTTATTGAGCTTATTAGTTAGGAAACACATAACATGGGATTTATTTTACTGATTATACTGCTCATCTTCTATGTAGGTTGCTGTTGTTGTAGCCCATGAGCTGGCACACCAGTGGTTTGGAAATCTTGTCACGATGGAATGGTGGACTCATTTATGGTTGAATGAGGGATTTGCCACATGGGTACTGTGCTGCATTCAAGTTTTGTATCCTTGTATCTTTAAGCATTAGGTACTCGTATACCTTCATTGACACATGGTTCCTTTTTTTTTTTCTACTAATCAGGTGGCCTATTTAGCTGCTGATAGCTTGTTTCCAGATTGGCAGATTTGGACTCAATTTCTTGATGAAAGTACTGCTGGGCTTCGACTGGATGCTCTTGCAGAATCTCACCCCATAGAGGTAAATGGTTTNAATAAAAATTAAGAATATGCAGAATGTTATTTTTTTTCCATAATAAATTCTAATTTTTCCGGTCTGCTTTCTCGTTTCAGGTGGAAATCAATCATGCCGGTGAAATTGATGAAATTTTTGACGCAATAAGTTATAGGAAGGGTGCATCTGTCATCCGGATGCTTCAGAGTTATCTTGGGCCTGAATGTTTCCAGGTGGCCCATTTTTTTCATTATAGATCATTTCGGGAATCAATTTTATTTACGTTTGTATTAATCTGTCAACAATTCACTTCATTACATCCTTATATTGATGTTTCCACTTTATGTATTGGTTTGTGTCCCATTTTAAAACATCTTCTAGAGGTCACTTGCTTCCTACATCAAAAGATACGCTTGCTCGAATGCGAAAACAGAAGATTTATGGTCAGTACTTGAGGAGGGTTCTGGTGAGCCCGTGAAGATACTGATGAACTCTTGGACCAAACAGAAAGGCTATCCTGTAGTGTCCGTGAAAATCAAAGACCAAAAGTTGGAGTTTGAACAGGTTATTCTATTTGGCTAACATCTACAACTGAGATATGTTTTCTGAACACTCTTAGGGTACTCTTAGGGTATGTTTGTATACAAGAAATCTAAAAAAAAATTCAACATTTTAACTCAACCACTTTTTTTTAACTCAACTTTAACTCGACCCCACTATCATCAATATTATCAATATAATTAAATATTTCAATCAATCATTCATACACACCAAATCAACCTTAATTCACTATTCATTCACTCACATTATTTTAACTAAACCAAACTAAAAAATCTAACACCAAAAATCATCACATTCTTTTTTCTATCTTTTTATTCTTTTTTTTTTTTCCTTTTACAGACACAATTTTTGTTGAGCGGTTCTCAAGGTGAAGGGCAATGGATTGTTCCAGTGACTCTGTGTTGTGGTTCTTATGAAGCTCGTAAACATTTCTTGCTGCAAACAAAAAGTGAGACTCTTGATGTTATAGAGTTATTGGGTGGCTCAAATTTATCTGCCCGCCCTTGGATCAAAGTCAATGTGGGACAAACTGCTTTCTTTCGGGTAAAATATGATGAAGAGCTATCGGCTAGGCTCAGGGATGCAATAGAGAAAAAGTCCTTGGCAATCAGTGATAAATATGGTGATCATGATTCTTTTTCTTTTCTTTTTATATATTTTGTTGAAAGTTTGAGGGAATTTTAACATAAGTATATTTATTCGTGCAGGAATTTTGGATGACTATTATTCATTGTCCATGGCATGCCAGCAATCTTTGAGCTCTTTGCTTGCATTGATGGGTGCTTTCAGAGAGGAGCTTGATTACACAGTTTTATCCAATTTGATCACTGTAATGTTCTAGTTTTTTATTATTTTTCTTTCTTTCTTTCCTTCCTATTCTATTTCAGGATTTAATTATTCCCGTTTTTAATTTTCATGTTTCTGCAGATATCTTTTAAAGTGGCAAGCATAGTGGCTGATGCTGCGCCTGATTTGCTGGCTGACTTGAAACTGTTTTTCATCAATCTTTTCCAGATTTCTGCGGAGTATTTTTTTTTTTTCCCTTCTGTTTTCCCATTCCCCTTTACACGGAATATAGTACTCGCGTATCTCACATAAAACATGTGTAATATTATTTCAACCTTTTTTTTTTAATCAGGAGGCTTGGATGGGACCCTAAGCAAGGGGAAAGCCACCTCGATGCCATGTTAAGGGGAGAGCTCTTATCAGCACTAGCTTCGTTTGGACATCAACAGACACTAGATGAGGCCAATAGGCGGTTTCGTTTATTTTTGGATGATAGGAACACACCTGTTCTTCCTCCTGATTTGAGAAGGGTTACATTCTAAAACTTATATTTTCATTTAATCAAAATTTTCGGAACTCATCTGTATTTTACTGAGCATACCTTTGTTTCTCCCCAATATTTTCAGGCAGTATATGTGGCCGTAATGCAGAACGTGAGTACATCAGATAGATTCGGCTATGAGTCTCTTCTGAGAATTTACAGAGAAACCGACCTTAGCCAGGAGAAAACGAGAATATTAGGTACAATTTGTTTGAACTATTAAATCTTAGAATGTTCATCGTGACATATTCTGCAGTTATTAATAAGTTACCCGATTTTCTCTTAGGCTCATTAGCTTCCTCTCGGGATCCTGAAATTACTCTCGAGTTTCTGAACTTCTTGTTATCATCTGAGGTACTTTTCATTTCTTGAGTGGGTATTTGAAATCTAAGCTACAACATAATTTTCAGGCAAGGTTTTTCTCATGTTTCTTTTTTCGGCTTTGTTATATAATGTAGGTTCGGAGCCAAGATGCTGTAATTGGATTGAGTGTTAGTAGGGAAGCTCGTGAAATCACATGGAATTGGTTGAAAGTAAGTCCATATAGTAGATGTCCATGGATTTAAGACCGACTTGTTCGCTTGCAAAAATGCTCGAATTTATGTCAACCTGTTTATTTTTATGTTTTCTGCATACATTTTTTGATTGAAAGGATATGCTCTCCATTTTTATTTTTTTAACAGAAACAAAAAGGGAATATTTGTGAACACTAGACTGATGGGTTGGTGTGCTTATTGCAGGAAAATTGGGACCATATCTCCAAGACTTATGGAGCTGGATTTCTGGTAACACGCTTTATTTCTGCTGTTGTGTCTCCGGTTAGTCCTCCTCTTTCTTAGTACTTTCAACTTTCAAGTTTATATACGAGTTTAAACACGACGAAAATATTATTACATTGAGATATTTATTCTTTATTTTGATTCTGTTACAGTTTACTTCGAATGAGAAGGCTGAGGAAGTAGAGCAGTTTTTCGACAGCCGTATGAAGCCTTACATTGCGAGGACATTGAAACAGAGTATCGAGAGAGTCCACATAAATGCGGCCTGGGTTAAAAGCATTCAGAGCGAGAAAAATCTTGCCGAGGCTGTTAAGGAGTTAGCTCACAGAAAATACTAAAAAAAAAAAATCACTTTTTTTCTTTAAGAAAATACTGGGTTGTTTCTGGATTTCTTAGTTTCAGGCTTTGTTTCAGGAAAGGGGAAAGAATGAAAAATGGAATAAATTGTGTGAACTTGGAACTGGTGTTATTCATGAATCAGGAGTTGATGGCGCTGTTTGACTGTTGTTTGCACCATAAAGAGTTTCAACATTTTACATCTTAGAGATATAAAGTATTTCTCATTTCATTCAAATGAAATGCTCTTGACCTTTTTCTCCTATTGAACGTCTTTAGACCTACAAAAACTCTCAGACCGGAGGGGTTTTTGGGTGAAAAGCTCTGATGCTTAAATGAGGTTGAACGTCTTTAGACCTGCAAAAATTTTCAGATCGGAGGGGTTTTGGGGCAAAGAGCCTCTGATGCTTAAATGAGCATGTGTAAGAGATGATTTTGCAGAAATGTAGAGTATGACTATGTTTGGTAGATAAATAAGTTAGGTTATAGCTTATTTGGTTAGCTAATAAACTTTATGTATTCAAATAAGATTCATTTAGTAGGGCGAGCTTTTTTTAAAAACTCGAGTTTATCTCATAAGCTTCTTTGGTTAACTTTTCAAATAAGCTCGTTGAAATTTTTATTTCAGCTTGCTTATCAACTAATTTACTAAACACTTTTATCATATAAGCTAGTTTTTCAACTATAAGTCATAAGCTATAAACTATAAGCTCGAAAATCACTTATAAGCTATAAGCTAGCTTATCAGCTAGTTTTACCAAACATTGCCTATATGAACGTAATGAGCTAGAAACGCACATCTCACTCCTATTTATAGGGGTGAGGTACCTGCTTCTAGAAGGCTGTCCGTATGAGGTGAGCTGGCTGCCCAAGCTGCCCGAGTTACCCGATAGTACAATCGGCCCTGCCCACTGTCAAAGGTGGTTACAGAGCATGAACCACTCAGGTAGTGCCACGTGTAGCAATAATTATGCACTATTCTTTCTTATCCATTAATCCTTCATATTCGACCACTTAATAGTGTGACCCGTTCGAGGTTTGCCGAGGAAAAATATGGATTGTCCTGGACGGTCGATCACGCGACCAGCCATGCCTACAAGTTGAGTTTCTATCAGGCCATCTGAGGACTCAAGCTCAACCTGCTGCCCTGAACCCCTTATGTTGTCTTTCAGATCGAAATTTCTTTGTCCTGAATCGATGATGTTCGACCACCACCGGTCCTGCTGTGATTCGGCTCGACTAGGCGGCTCGCTTTGCCTAGTCGACCAGTTTATTCCCTTAGATACGATATCCATATCGACTAGAGAAACCCGAGTTTGCTAAAAGTAGAACGTGGTCATTAGACAGCGCCTTTGCCCCTTGTGACCAATCAAACAATCGTGGATATTATGCTAAAATCTACAAAGGAGGATTTGAAGACTTGACCGTATAGGTGCTTAATCTGGATTTAGTTGAATTTTGTTTGTCCTTGCTGTGTTTTCGTGTTGTTTCATTTTGTTAGGAGAATATTGATTTCTTAACATATATGGGACTAGTTAATGAAAGAAACTTGCCTTCGGTTTGTAACAAGTGTGTACATGTTGGTTTCTTTTTCATACTGGAGATGTTTTAGCCTTTTAGGTTATTTGTCATGTCTTTGTTTCTATGATTCATTGACTTTTTTTACCAAATAGACAATAAAAAGGAAGGCAAAATTACAATGATGTTAGACCTGTGGACAACTCAAAGATAGGCATATGGACAGGTTTATCATAGAGGTGTTAGACCTCTAGATAGCCCATAGCTCATAGATGTGTTAAGCCTTTAGATAGGTCTATAATAAGGTGTTAGACCTCTTGATAGCAAATAGCTTGAACAACTCATCGACTCATCGGTGTGAGATAGCTGGACAGGTCATAGAGGTGTTAGACCTCTAGATAGCAAATAGCTTGGATAGGTCATAGAGGTGTTAGACCTCTAGATAGCCCATAGATCATAGAGGTGTTAAGCCTTTGGATAGGTCATAGAGGTGTTAGACCTCTAGATAGCAAATAGCTTGAACAACTCATCAACTCATCGGTGTGAGACAGCTGGACAGGTCATAGAGATGTTAGACCTTTGGACAACTCATAGGTCATAAAGGTGTTAGACCTCTGAACAACTTAGAGGTGTTATACCTCTAGACTAGTCATTGAGGTGTTCGACCTCTGCACAAGTCATAGAGATGTTATGTAAACAAACTATATAATAGATAAGAAAGGATATAATTAAGATAAGAACCATATGTGGCTTGGACCATGTTGCCTAACAGAATTGAGCAGTTCGGGCACCTGGGCAATATGAATGGGCAGTACGAACGGGCAATTCGGACAGCTCAACCGTGCAGTTGTGGCCAACAAGGTAACACTCGTATGTAAAGTGGTGAGGTATGATCACTCTCATTCTACACACTCTTATATACTTACAAGCTATACCGTTATCACTATTCATCTTCTCCACATATTTTTTAAAATTCTTTTTCAAAGAAAAAAAAAACACAACCAAATCGAACGTTTAGCACGTTTCACCCAGGACCTTATGAAGTTCAGTACCGACTCTGCTGAGGACATTTATTTGTTGGGTAGAGCCTTTTGTTCTTGTTTGTTTGTGTTCCCTAGTGTTGTATGAGTTGTGTTGTTTTGTTCAGTGCTTGTGGTTTGTAGGGTGAGTGCTGTTCAAACCCTTCCTCTTCATTCTTCATATTATCAATATAATTAAATAATATTAATTGATCATTTTTACATATAACATCAACTTTAATTCATTATTTACAGTCTCATAAGTTTAACTACCAATCAATTTCAATTATCTATCTCATATTTTTACATTAAATTAATTTTAATTATTATTTTCAATATAAATTTAAAATATATATATATATATGTATATATAACTACTGACTGATGCATTTAATAAAATCTATTTTCATTTCCCTCCAAACGGAATTACATTTTTTTTAATTAATTACTCACTAATCTACTAAAATCGTTATACCTTAATATATATATTTTTATTATTTATTTTTTGGATCAGTTACTAAATTAATTTTAAATTTGGTAGCAAAATATTCAGATGTGTAACGGCTAATGTTGGAACTTAAAGTTGATTGACACATTCAGAGCTGTAACCGCTATATTTGGTTGCATTGTTGGAAGAAAAATATGATTGACACATATTTTTTTTTTTCTAAAAATCAGAAACACCAATAATTTTTTTTATTTATGTTAATTTTCTTAATATATGCCACAAATATATAAATTATTTTATTCATGTTACTAATGTAAACATTGCATGGTTAAAATAAAATTTAAATCTCAATTAATTTTGAATAATAAAAATTACTTAAGAAAAAGTAATAATTTTTATATAATAGAAGTACATGTCTAATTCCCCCTATATATTAATTCAAAACGTGTTGATCCTAATTGGCAGACTCACATGCTTCGAGATCCTATTTGGCAAAATTACATGCTTCGTTATTAGGTTTGGGTAAATTTTAATTTACTTCCAATCCAAAAATAATTTGGTTTGGATTATCCATAAATATGTTGTTTATTTATGGTCATGTTACATGTATTAATTGCATTTTAATATCATTTCTTATTATAACCATTGAATTGTAAATGTATTTTAAAAATTAATAACTTTTGTATTTTTTATCAGTTTTACATATATAATATATCAAATTAATCATCTTTTGATGAACTTCGATTTAACATCCCTATTGTATTTATTTTTATAACAATAATAAAATTATTTTTTAATATTAATTAAAAAATAAAGTTATTTATCAATTAATACATTTATATTTCAAGTAGTTATGTGATATAAGTTACAACAATTACTATAATATAACACATATAAGTCTCACAAGTAACAAGTGTAATTCTAAAATATATAATAATATATATTTTTTGTAAAAAACTAAATAAGATTTAAAATAATTTTTTTCATTAATTTTAAAATTTAAAAATAACTTTTTAACAAGCACTCTTGTAATACACGGGTGGTGTATTAGTTAATAAATACATACAAATACATGTTTTATATCTGTGCAAATGCACCGGATCAAAATACTTGTTTCATTAACATTAATCATATCAACTTTTTCAAAATTAAACATAAAAAAAAAAATCAACAAATCCCCTCTTAATATAATTTGAAAACGTGCTGAGCCTAAATGGTTGTCTCGCACGCTTCGAAAACTTATTTTGCAACATTACATGCTTCGGTTTTTGGTTCGGACAAAGGTAAGTATAGATTTGCTCATATTATCAAATCATAGAAAGATATTAAATCCATATTGTAAAAAATAATAATTCATATAATTTTATAACAATTCTACTACACTATTTAACAATATTCTTTTTTATTATATAATAAAATAATTATTAAATATTATATGATGAACAACAATAAGTAAAATTGTTACTTTCTCTTATACCAAGGGATAATTTATATGCTAAAATTAATTTTTATTAGTATAAATATTTTAATGAGATAATATATTAATTATTTTACAAGTTAACCCTAACATGCTCATATTTAATGTTCTGGTTAAAAGATGTGGAAAAAAACTTATAATAACCCTATTATTTTTTAGAGTTATCGTTTTATTAAAAGAGGTAGAAAATAGATAATAACCTTATTATTTTTAGATTTAAACGGAAAAAACTGTGAAAATAACTCAATTTAATATATATGTCCCCCACGGCCCACGAGGTACGTACTAGTACTAAGATATTTGTAAACAAGCAAGCCCGCGGTCTTCCATCGAACAAAGAAAGGTACCTACTGCCTAGAGGACGGGCCAGATGCAGCAGAGCGACGACCCGGAGCTTCAATCTCTACAGATGTGGAAATGGCGGAGCAGAGCCACAAGCACTCCCAGTTCAAAGGACAGCCGCGACTCCCCAAATTCGCCGTTCCCAAGCGCTACGATCTCAAGCTCAAACCCGATCTAACCGCCTGTAAATTCTCCGGCGCCGTTCAAATCTCCGTCGACGTTATTTCGGACACGAAGTTCCTTGTCCTCAACGCAGCAGAGCTCGCCGTCGATCCCAAATCCGTTACTTACACATCGAGTGATAAGGTACTGGCTCAGGCGGCGTCCTCTGGGTTCTTTTTTCTTTGTCTATTTTTCGTTATGGTTGGCTCGAAAAGTCATTATTAGAATGACAGACTTGTGAGATACTTTTTCTTCAGTTATTGCTCGGTGAGAGAACAATCGATTTCATTCGGGAAAGGATAGCAGTCAGTTGAATATTCTTGTAATATCACGTAGTATATCTCACTGAGGTTTCTTTGATTTGCTAAGTCATAATTTATTTTGAAACAGTGATATTTCCCATATTGATTTAGTGAAGCTTTTGCTCTCTTGTATGCTTCATGGTGTGTAAAATCTAGATATTTTCATAGATGCTTCAGAAATGAAAAGCAGATATTTTTGGGAATTTTCTCTCTTAGCTCAAATTGTACGTACACTCTGCTATATATATAGCAGCTCGTTATGCAACAAAGTACAGGATAAACTACGTCGTGTAAGTGAAAGGACGACGTCGTATGAATTTACAAAGAAGGCAAAAGAAGACGAGACGACGTCGTTCTAATAAGTAGAAACGGCATCGTTCGATGTACATTTAGAAATAGAAACAGAACATAAAAGTCGTGACTGCGACTTATTTCTTCAGCTTGAACTCTACTGTTATAACTGCTTGAGCTGGTTCTTTACATGTTCAACACCCTCCCCTCAAGTTGGGCCGTGATCCGCTGAAAGCATGCCCAACTTGCAGACAAGATAAGAAAAGCGATGACCAGCAATGACTTTAGTGAAAAGATCTGCTAGTTGGTGTTGAGAAGGAATATACTTAGGCAGAATAAACCCTTGTTTGAACTTAATCTCTCACTAGGTGACAGTCGATCTCAAGATGCTTGGTCCTTTCATGGAAGACCGGATTAGCAGTGATGTGTAAGGCAGCTCTGTTGTCACACAACATGGGAACAGGAAAAGATAATGGAACAAGAAACTCTTGAGCCAAATAACTGAGCCACATAATTTCTGAAACACTAGACCCCATTGCTCTATATTCTGCCTCTGGGAAACTGTGTGTTGTTTCTTGCTTTTCCAGGAAATCAGTGCATCTCCCAAAAAAATGCAGTAGCCTGTGATGGATCTTCTTGTATCTTTGCAAGTAGCTCAATCGGCATCACAAAATGCAGTAAGAGTTGAAGTAGCAGGTTTAGCAGGATAGAATAATCCCAAAGATGGTGTCCCTTTGAGATATTTAAGAATGTGTAATGCAGCTTTCCAGTGATCCTCATGATGGTTATTAACAAATTGACTTAGCTGTTGGACAGCATAAGTCACATCAGGCCTTGTCATGCCAAGATAGAGCAACTTCCCAATTATTCTTCTATACTGTTCAGGTTGCTGCATGGGTTTTCCTGCCTGACTTTCAAGTCTAACTCCAAGAGGTAATGGTGTGGATGCTGGTGCACAACCAAGCATGTTTAGGTCACTCAGTATATCTAGTATATACTTCCTTTGGCACAAATAAACTCCAGCAGTGCTATGTTTCAGCTCAACTCCAAGGAAAAATTGTGCAGTGCCAAGATCCTTGATAGTAAATTGTTTGTCCAAGAAATCTTTCAATTCAGCTATGAGAGTGGCACAAGAACCAGTGACTAAAACATCATCAACATACACTAGTAATGCCAAAAATTTCCCATTTTTGTTCAAAGTGAATAAGCAATGATCATAGGATGACTGTATCAGCCCAAAAAGAGACAATTTTCTGCACAATTCATTGTTCCATTCCCTAGATGCTTGTTTCAATCCATAGAGACTTTTAATGAGTTTGCAAACATGACCTGGAGAAGCTTTGTCATAGCCTTGGGGAGGCTGCATATAAACTTCCTCAGTAAGGTAGCCATGAAGGAATGCATTATTAACATCCAATTGGTGTAGTGGCCATCCTTTTTGAATTGCTGTAGCTATGAGGAATCTTACTGTGACCAATCTTGCCACAGGTGAGAATATATCAAAGTAATCAATACCCTCAGTTTGGTTGTAACCCTTAGCTACCAATCTAGCTTTATATCTCTCAACTAAGCCATCAACTTTTCTTTTAGTTTTGTATATCCATTTACATCCTATAGCTTGTTTTCCTTCTGGCAAAGATGTGAATTCCCAAGTGGAGTTCCCTTCTAAGGCATCTAACTCCCTCTGCATTGCCTCTACCCAAGATGGGTGCAAGACAGCCTGTTTGTAATGTGAAGGTTCCTTTTCAACTGAAATGTTAGCTAGAAACTCCTGATGAGAAACAGACTGATTGGGATAAATGTTGTATGGATAAGTCCCAATAGGATAAACCTTCTTTGGTGACATGGACTGTTGTGAGTTTCCACATACATAATCCTCCTGCCATTTAGGTGTCCTTTTTTTTTTTTTTTTTTCACCTCTTCCTGCATTTTCAGTGGACATATCGGTGTCATTTGGTTCCTTTGCTGCTTATTGTGAAGACATGTTATCATCATCACAAATATCATTAGGGATCACCACCTCATTTGTTGTTGCAGTGACTGAAGGGAAAATTTCTTCAAAGAATACTACATCTCTGGAAATAAAACAAGTTTTCAGCTCCAAATCATATAGGTGATACCTTTTTTTCCTGACACATTTCCTAAAAGAATGCATTTGCTTCCCCTAGGTTCATATTTGGATTTGAAAGGATGTACTTTGGCAGCATATACCAGACAGCCAAAAGGTTTCATTCTTTTAAAATCAGGTGCAATCCCATATATTTTCTCAAAAGGTGTTTTCCATCCCAAAACTTGTGATGGCAGCCTGTTAATGATGAAAGCAGCTGCTAATACTGAGTATGGCCAGAAATATATAGGTAGCTTAGCTTGAAACATTAATGCTCTTCCTATCTCCAGTAAATGCCTGTGCTTTCTTTCTACAATGCCATTTTGCTGTGGTGTGTACACACAGCTTGTTTCATGCACAATTCCTTTCTGTTGGAAAATTGCTGTGTCTCATTTCCCAAGAATTCTTTGCCATTGTCAGATCTGATCTTTTTAACTACAGCTTCATATTGAGTTTCAACCAATCTGATAAAATTACTGAGAAACTTAAAAGCTTCAGATTTGTAAGTCAAGAAAGATCCATACCCCTTTACTGTAGTCATCAACCAAAGGTGTTCCTGTCATGGTTTCCTCCTTACAAGCTCCCCAAATATCCACATGTAGCATCTCAAAGCACTTCTTGGTCTGGATTGAGTTGAGTTGAAAGGGTAGTCTATGTTGCTTTGCCTTGAAACATATTTCACATGCCTGGATTTGCCTTTCATTTTGTGGTGAGCATTCTTTGTTCAGGAAGGGCAAATGTCTCATTGTGGTGATGCTAGCATGTCCTAGGCACTTGTGCCAAGTATCAAGTGGAAGATTACACTTAACAACAGTATTTGTCATTTCAGCCTCTCTGTACAAGACATATAAGTTCCCAACTGTTTTCCCTTGTCCAACTAGTTGTCCATTGTCACAATGTATCAATTCACATGTGGTTGCTGAAAATGAGCATCTCACCCTTGAGTCTGAACACAGTTGACTCACAGAAAGTAAGTTATATTCGAAGTCAACAACATATAAGACATTCCTCAAGACAAGTGTATGGCTCAAAACCACCATGCCTGCAGTATCCACCCTTTTGTGTGATCCATCTGGCAAACACACATTAACATCATCTTGGAGATGGAGGATATTCTTCATGAGTTTCAAATCCCCACATATGTCTACTGGCTCCTGTGTCAATTATCCATTCCTTTGAGTCCATTTTTCCTGAAGTGGTTAATGCAAAATGCATTTCACTATCATCACTTCCTTCTGTGAAGCTTAACTGTGCATAATCCATTTTGTTTTCTGCAGCTTCTTTTCCTTTAATGTATTTTGTAAGCTCCTGCAACTGTTGCATCATAAAGGACATCTCACTATCCTTGCTACTCTTCTTTTCAGTAGGGCTTTCTTTCCATGTTTCTGCACTTTCATTGGTATCAACATTTTTCATTGGTATCAACATTGTGTGCAAAACTCTTAGCATTTTGCCCTTTCATCTCTCTATACCAATCTGGCACCCCATGAATTTTGAAACAAGTTGTAACTGTGTATCCATGCATTCCACACTTTTCACATATTAATTTGGCTCTTTCTTCTTTACTCATTCTCATAAATCCTCTACCTCTACCTCCTCCTCTAGCAACATTTCCTCTACTATAGTTCATTTGTCCTCTGCCATAATTTTCAAAGTTGGCATTCATAGCTACATTTTCCTATTTTTCAAAACTGTTGTGAACTGTTCTTTGCCTTTCAGCTGAAAGCACCATAGAGTAGGCTTTGCTAACATTTGGTAATGGATCCATCATCATGATTTGATTCTTCAGCATATTATAGCTGTCATTAAGGCCCATAAGAAAGAAACTGGATCAACTTAGTTTCTAATTCATTTTGTGCTGCTATCTTTCCTTTTTCACAGTTACATGATTGTATGGGAACAATGTGAGCATATTCATCCCATAGCTTCTTAAGTCTACCAAAGTACTCCATCACCGACATATTACCTTGAGACAGAGAGCTTATTTCTCTTCGCAACTTATACTTGATTGGTCCGTTATTTTCACCGAACCTTTGACATATTTCATCCCACAGGTCTTTAGCAATTTCAGCATACACAAACGTCTCAGCAATTTCTTTAGACAGAGAGTTTAATATCCACGACAGAATCATACAATTAACCTTCTGCCAATTTTCAAAATCCTCATCATCGGGACTTGGCTGAATAATGCTGCCATTGATAAAGCCTAGCTTCGTTTTAGCTCCTAAAGCAATCAACATTGATCTTCTCCATGATAGAAAATTATTTCCAGTCAACCGATTTGAAACCAGTAACATACCAGGATTATCGGAACCGTGTAGAAAAAGCGGACCATGATCCGGCGGCGCGCTTCCTTGCCGTATTCCCGATCCCGTTGTACTGACACTGCCATCTTGCCTTGTCGCCATTGATGAACGCTTCAATTAGGTTGAAGGTCTCAGGATCTAGATGCTCTGGATACCATGTAAAATCTAGATATTTTCATAGATGCTTCAGAAATGAAAAGCAGATATTTTTGGGAATTTTCTCTTTTAGCTCAAATTGTACGTACACTCTGCTATATATATAGCAGCTCGTTCATGCAACAAAGTAAATGATAAATGACGTCGTGTAAGTGAAAGGACGACGTCGTATGAATTGACAAAGAAGGCAAAAGAAGACAGACGAGACGACGTCGTTCTAATAAGTAGAAACGGCGCCGTTCGATGTACATTTAGAAATAGAAACAGAACATAAAAGTCGTGACTGCGACTTATTCTTCAGCTTGAACTCTACGGTTATAACATCTTGAGCTGGTTCTTTACATGTTCAACATGGTGATCCAATATGCATGACAACGTTTAAGGAAAAAAAAGTATATGCCTGTTAATTTCTTTAAACAATTTATTTTGTTCTTTAGATGGGACCGTAACATCGAAGTTGTTACCATACTTCATTGAGTTACATGAAAAAAGAAACAAAAGAGATCCACTGTATCTTGACTTGTGATCCGCAATAGTGTGCCATTTGTCTCGCGCTCTGATTTTGATGCGAGGAAGGACTCTAGTAGTGTTTTAGCAAAAATATTGATGTATCACACATTGCTTTATATTTTTATCCTGGCTGTTTTCAGGTTTTGGAATCAGTAGAGGTAGAATTGTTTGAGGATGATGAGATTGTTGTGTTGGAATTCAAGGAAAATTTACCAGTTGGTGTAGGTGTTTTGAACATCGACTTTGAGGGGACTCTAAATGATGGAATGAAAGGCTTCTATAGAAGGTGATTTATCTACTTTAATTTTGTACTTATATCACTGTTTTGACTTACATTAGTTGTTATTACAGTTTACTTGTGTTACCAGATATACTTATTTTGGCTAATTTGGCATTAGAATTAATGTTCCTTTATGATAGATAACCCTTGTGTTGTGTTTGAACTATTAATCCATTGGATCCAATACTGCTTTAATATGTACATCATGCATAACATGTCTCAGCGACTTGGAATTCATATGCTGAGTTATTCATCAGAACTTAGCTGAAGCAGTGGATTTTATCTCTTCCAGAAGTAATTCAGAATAATGTTCAAAGTGAATGTCATTTCATGATTGGGGTACTTTACAGCAATCGAATATTCTCATAAATAACATTTTGAAATGAGGAACAGTGTCCTTTGTGTGCGTTTTAGGCACATAGTCGTTGAAACTCGTATAGGAACGGTGAAATTGCTTTCTCTCTATAATGTAGGTTCTATTAATTAATTATCAGACTTTGGTCCTAAATGTTTTGATCCCTTAATTCAGCACTTATGAACACAATGACGAGAAGAAAAACATGGCTGTGACTCAGTTTCAGCCGGCTGATGCTAGGCGGTGCTTCCCCTGTTGGGATGAGCCTGCTTACAAGGTACTTATGCAGATCCTAGTGCCTGCTAACCACGATTTTCCGTTATTTATGTTTTTCAATGATGAAAACAGTTGAAGCTTATAGCAAATTCAAATTGTAATAATTTTGGGTGGTGCATGTGCTACCTATGTCCAAGTTATTCTAGAAGTTATTCTTTGACATTTATCACACCTCCAATTTCAGGCGACATTCAAGATTACATTAGAGGTACCATCTGAGCTGATAGCACTTTCCAACATGCCAGTCATTGAAGAGAAAATATTTGGGAATCTAAAGACAGTTTACTATGAAGAATCACCAATCATGTCCACTTACCTGGTGGCAGTTGTAGTTGGGCTGTTCGATTATGTTGAGGACCATACTCCTGATGGTATGTTTGCAAATTTCCATTCTATCTTATGATTAGGTTATCTTTGTTGAGATTGATATTTCCCTTCATGATCTTTGTTTTTACAGGAGTCGTTGTCCGGGTATACTGTCAGGTTGGCAAGGTTAGTCAAGGGAAGTTTGCCCTGGATGTAGCTGTCAAAACACTTGGCATTTATAAAGAGTAAGCTTGCTGTGAAATTATTTCATTTGCTTAAATTAGTGTATTTTTTAAGGTCTCTTGCACATGTGAGTTTATGGACAAAGAACATTTCTTAATTTAAAAACCTCAGGTACTTTGCAGTGCCATATTCTCTTCCTAAGTTGGACATGATTGCCATTCCTGATTTTGATGGAGCCATGGAGAATTATGGTCTTGTTACTTACCAGGAAACAGCTTTGCTTTACGATGATAAGCACTCGGCGGCCGCTAATAAACAGAGAGTAATATCAGTTTTCCTGAAAATATGAAATTACTTGGATTCAGTTTATAGATTGTGTGTCTACTTTTCTTGTAATTCAACATATGGTTATTAGAACATGGGATTTATATTACTGATTATACTGCTCATCTTCTATGAAGGTTGCTGTTGCTGTAGCCCATGAGCTGGCACACCAGTGGTTCGGAAATCTTGTGACAATGGAATGGTGGACTCATTTATGGTTGAATGAGGGATTTGCCACTTGGGTACTGTGTAGCATTCAAGTTTTTATGCATTAGGTACCCACACACCTTCACTCACACGTGGTCCCCTTTTTTTAACAAATCAGGTGGCCTATTTAGCTGTTGATAGCTTGTTTCCAGATTGGCAGATTTGGACTCAATTTCTTGATGAAAGTACTGCTGGGCTTCGATTGGATGCTCTTGCAGAATCTCACCCCATAGAGGTAAAATGGTTTGTTTTTGAAAAATTAAAAATTAAGAATATGCGGAATTTTAAATTTTTTTCCTAATAAATGCTATTTTTTCCGGTCTGCTATCTTATTTCAGGTGGACATCAATCATGCTGGGGAAATTGGTGAAATTTTTGACGCAATAAGTTATAGGAAAGGTGCATATGTCATCTGGATGCTTCAAAGTTATCTTGGGCGTGAATGTTTCCAGGTGTCCCATTTTTTTTCTTTATAGATCAATTCAGTAATCAATTTGATTTACATTTATATTAATCTGTCGACAGTTAACTTCAGTACAGCCTTATCTTGATTTTTCTCTACGTATTGGTTGTGTTCATTTTAAAAACATCTTCTAGAGGTCACTTGCTTCCTACATCAAAAGATACGCTTGCTCGAATGTGAAAACAGAAGATTTATGGTCAGTACTTCAGGAGGAATCTGGTGAGCCCGTGAATATACTGATGAACTCTTGGACCAAACAGAAAGGCTATCCTGTAGTGTCCGTGAAAATCAAAGACCAAAAGTTGGAGTTTGAACAGGTTATTCTTTTTAACCAACTTCAAGAACTGAGATATGTTTTCTAAACACTGTTAGCTTTTCTTTTTTCTTTCTTATTATTCTTTTTTTTTTCCTTTTACAGACACAATTTTTGTTGAGCGGTTCTCGAGGTGAAGGGCAATGGATTGTTCCAGTGACTCTGTGTTGTGGCTCTTATGAAGCTCGTAGAAATTTCTTGCTGCAAACGAAAAGTGAGACTCTTGATGTTAAAGGATTATTGGGTGCTTCATCTGCCCGCCCTTGGATCAAAGTCAATGTGGGACAAACTGCTTTCTTTCGGGTAAAATATGATGAAGAGCTAACTGCTAGGCTCAGAGATGCAATAGAGAAAAAGTCTTTGTCAATCAGTGATAAATATGGTGATCATGATTGTTTTTCTTTCTTTTTATATATTTTGTTGAATGTTTGAGGGAATTTTAACATAAGTATATTTATTCGTGCAGGAATTTTGGATGACTATTATTCATTGTCCATGGCATGCCAGCAATCTTTGAGCTCTTTGCTTGCATTGATGGGTGCTTTCAGAGAGGAGCTTGATTACACAGTTTTGTCCAACTTGATCACTGTAATGTTCTCATGTTTTTCTTATTATTATTATCTTTTTTTTTCTTTTCTATTCTATTTCACGATTTAATTATTCCCGGTTCTAATTTTCTTGTTCTGCAGATATCTTTTAAAGTGGCAAGCATAGTGGCTGATGCTGCGCCTGATTTGCTAGCCGACTTGAAACTGTTTTTCATCAATCTTTTCCAGATTTCTGCCGAGTATTTTTTTCCCCTTCTGTTTTCCCGTTCCCCTTTATACGAAGTATAGTACTCGTGTATCTCGCATAAATCATCTGTAATATTATTTCAACCTTATTTATTTATTTATTTATTTTTAAATTAGGAGGCTTGGATGGGACCCTAAGCAAGGGGAAAGCCACCTCGATGCCATGTTAAGGGGAGAGCTTTTATCAGCACTAGCTTCGTTTGGGCATCAAGAGACACTAGACGAGGCCAATAGGCGGTTTCGTGTATTTTTGGATTATAGGAACACACCTGTTCTTCCTCCTGATTTGAGAAGGGTTATATTCTAGAACTTGTATTTTCAAGTCATCAAATTTTTCGGAACTCAACTGTATTTTCTTGAGCATACCTTTGTTTCTTCCCAATATTTCAGGCAGTATATGTGGCCGTAATGCAGAACGTGAGTACATCAGATAGATTCGGCTACGAATCTCTTCTGAGGATTTACAGAGAAACCGACGTTAGCCAGGAGAAAAAGCGAATATTAAGTACGATTTGTTTAAACTATTAAATGTTAGAATATTCATAGTGACATTTTCTGCAGTTATTAATGGGTTTCCCAATTTTCTCTTAGGCTCATTAGCTTCTTCTCGGGATCCTGAAATTACTCACGAGTTTCTGAACTTTTTGCTATCATCTGAGGTACTTTTCATTTCTTGAGGGGGTATTTGAAATCTAAGTTACAACATAATTTTCACTCAGGGTTCTTCTCATATTTCTTTTTTTTTTTTTTCGGCTTTGTTATAATGTAGGTTAGAAGCCAAGATGCTGTAATTGGATTGAGCGTTAGTAGGGAAGCTCGTGAAACCACATGGAATTGGTTGAAAGTAAGTCCATATAGTGATGTCCATGGATTTAAGACCTCTTTGTTCGCTTGCAAAAATGCTTGAATTTATTTCGACCGGTTTATTTTATATGCATCCTGTATACAATTTTTTATTGAAACGATATGCTTTTGTGCAAAAAATAAAAAAAATAAAAAAAATAAAAAACTTTCTACTCCGAAATCCCTCCTTTTTTTAAAAACAACAGCGGAATATTTGTGAAGACTAAATGCTGATTGGTTGTGCTTAATGCTTATTGCAGGAAAATTGGGACAATATCTCAAAGACTTATGGATCTGGATTTCTGATAGCACGCTTTATTTCTGCTGTTGCGTCTCCGGTTAGTCCTTCTTCTTAGTACTTTCAACTTTCAAGTTCATATATGAGTTTTTCAACACGACGAAAATAATATTACATTGATATATTTATTCGTTAATTTGATTCTGTTACAGTTCACTTGGAATGAGAAGGCTGAGGAAGTAGAGCAGTTTTTCGCAAGCCGTATGAAGCCTTACATTGCGAGGACATTGAAACAGAGTATTGAGAGGGTCCGCATAAATGCAGCCTGGGTTAAAAGCATTCAGAGCGAGAACAATCTTGCCGAGGCCATTAAGGAGCTAGCTCACAGAAAATACTAATAAAATAAAATAAAATAAAAATCACTTCGAGAAAAATCACTCATTATTTAATTTGCTTTTGTCTCTTTAACTTTATGAACATAATTAAGTAATAAAAATCAATCATTACTACACATTTTTCAGTGCAATTTACTATTAATCTATTTATATATTTTTAACTAATCATTATTTATATTATTATTTTATTTTTCTTTTACATCAAATTTACTTACTTTTATTTAGTAATATTCACAATTAGATATATCACATTGTTACACCCGAATCCAAACCATTTTCAAACTATCCAAACAATTTTTTTTCAAAATAATCAATATTCAACCACAATTTTTTGCCAAAATAAACAGTTTTTGGTTTGGGGAAAAAATATAGAAAGCCGTCACTCATCACACATTTCCCTTTGAGAAAAATAAATAACTTCCTTGAAAACATAAAAATTGTTTGTAAATCTTTTGTTCCTTCTTCAATTGTGCAATTGATACTTCAACCTGAAATTGAAANATTTCCAATGAAGTCCACAACAAATTTTCAACAGTCAACAGCTACATATGAGCCCCAGACCAAAAAAACAAAGGGGCCAGAAAAAATCAATAAAAACCAAAAATCCCATGCTATCAACTTCCAACAAAAACTAAAAAACTTCAAATCAATAACACCACCACCAAAAAATCATAATAAAATGGATAAACAAAGGCTAATCAAATTCCAAAACACTTGCTATTCATTTCTATCTAGCTAGACCCTTTTCTTGATCTTCCTCTGGGCTTTCAGGTCCACCACAACTACAGTGATGTTATCCTTGCTCCCCTTCTGTAGGGCCCGATTGCATAAGTACTCGGCTGCCGCTTGGGCTGCCGGGTCCGGCCCATTTCCCCTTTCCGAGTGTGACATGGGCCCGTTATTCTTGTGCCAAAGGAGTATTCTTTTACGAGCAATATCACAAACCTCCTCGTTAGTCATCACATCCCACAAACCGTCACTAGCTAGAATCAGGCACTCGTCTTCCCTTGCTCGTGGGGCGAACGTGACCTCAGGATCTGGAATTATCGACGGTTTTAAATATCTGTCTCCTGTTATAACCCGGCATTGGATTAAAGAGCGAAAAAAAAAACAGAAGAATGATTTTAAGGTTTTTCTGTCTTAGCTTCTAAATCCAAAAGCAGCAAAAACATCAAAATTAGACATACCAATGGACCTAGACATTGCAAGTACCCCAAAAACACGATGCCCGTTCCACTGTATCACTTTCCCTCCAGCTGCTTCGATTCTCGCGTATTCATCCTCACGGTTAGGCTAAAAACGAGACCATACAATAAAATCAAACAATTTTACACTTTCTTGAGAGAAAAAAAAAAGTGTATAGAAAATACCTTGTGATCGAGTGAGAGTGCCAAAGGCTCCTTGCCACGGCACAGCACAGCTCTCGAGTCCCCACAATTAGCCACTATTATATGCGACGAACACACAACTGCCACAACAGCAGTCGAGCCAACTGTTTCAGGAGCAATTGGTTCGACTTTAGCTTTCTTCCCTTCAATCTCATCATCCACCTTAAGAAAGCATTTCGTGAAGGCCCTTCTCCAATTCTCCTCACAATTTTGCGAATTACTCCAAGTTTCTTCTCGATCGCTCATCATACTTTCTAGCTCCTCGGTCAAAGCATCATGAAAACGATCCTGACAATAGTTAGCCACCTGCAAAACAAATAAAAAAGAAGAGGAAAAAGAGAATCTCAACAACAAATACTTAAGAAACTATTTTTTGTCCATTTTTCCTTTGGAGTGATTGTACAGAATGAAGGACGAACCTCAGACCCTCCATGCCCATCATAAACCCCGAAAAAATGGCCAGACAGATGACTCAAACACGAACTCGAACTAAACCCATCAACCGAACCATCACCAGCCAACATTCGTATAGGAATCCTCAGCAGCTTAGGAACGGCTGAGATTGCATCTTCCATCTCTGCACGCCTCCCACAAACGGACGTGAAACCCCACAAAGCCAAACAGTCCACCTCGAATATGCTCCGGCCCACCTTTTTCTCAACCTGAAAAGACGATTTTACCCCTGTCTCCTCCTCAACACCCATGCCCGGCAAACCATTACTTAAATCCCTAGGAATCAGCTCCACATCAAATATGTTCTTGTTCGACTCCAAAAAACTGGGCCCAACTTCCGAGCCCGTATCCAAGCCCGATAAGTCGTCACCACACAGGCTGCTCCTATCACTTTCGGAACCCACTTGTTGAGCTCCCGAATCAACGACAACACAATCCTCATTATCTTCGGCCATCATCTCGATTTTCATTACATCCATATATATTTCTTTTTTTTCTTGAGGTAAGACGAGTTACCTAATTCAGAAGGCACTCAAAACAGAGGTTTATGCGTCTTATCAACCAAAAATTCAATAACTAAACATTAACTGTTACCCCGCCGCCCATCCAAGATCGCAAAACCCGTCGTTGTCGAAATTAAGTGGNAATAATCTAAAATAGCCAAATAATCTAGGACGTGTGAACCGGAACCCACGAGCGACAAATCATGCTGGGGTCATAACTCATATGAGTTATGGAAATAATTGACCCCAATAGAAGCTTACAGAGGCTCCGAAATTCACCAATAAAATAAAATTGACCCGAATAAAAGGGCCTTGAAAAATGGAAATAATTGATTAGATCTGGTGACCTGAAAGGAAAGAAATTTGACACCAACTACCATCCGTGAAAACGGGCCACCATCGTGTGAAGAAACTAACTAACTTGTCTGAAAGACTGAAACTTTATCTTCTTGTTCTCTGGACCCTTCACAATCTTCTACCTCCCACTCAAACCCAGCACATGAAAAGAATTAACATATCAAATGACCTCTGAAAAAGATCCTAATCCAGGGCACATATTAAACGAAAATTACATGTACCCAGTAAAGCAGATCCTTCAGTTTCGACAAACTAACTACAAGAGTGAAAAAATAAATGAAAAATCAGCGTTTATGGTGGGGAATTAAACTTCTGTGCATTCATCCCTTTCAAAGACAAGAAAGGAGATTTATACTAAAGGGGGTGAAGCAAGAAGCTTTTTCTTGAGGTCACAAGAAAATCTTGAATTAAAAAAGGCAACTTTTTTTGGGCCCTCAACAGAAAACTAAGAGTACCCCGGATCTGAGGCAAACCAACCGTGACCGCTTTCTTTCATTTGAGTGACAAATCTTGATTACATCTTATTACTTGCTTGCATCACTCTCATGTTGTGAAAAAAATGGTGGTAAATTTCATCTAAACATAAGAAATTAGTGATAAGTTTGTTTAAAAGATGAAGTAAGCTGAAAAGAGTAATTACACCTGTTGCCTAATTTCACTGTTTAAGTATGCTTACAACAGTTAATCGTCCTCCCTTCTCTCTCTCTTAGACAGCCAATCAGCCATTACTAAGTGTTAAATGAATCGAGCCGTTTTATGAGCTTAGATCGACTCCAACTTTTAAATTGGTTGAAGTAGAACTTGTTTAAAGAATAAAAAGTAGGGATTTATACATTTTTTTTAAAATTTAGTTTAATTTGAGTGTTGATTAGAGCTTCTTCTCACTTATGACTAAACAAGTCAGACTCAAACTTGACAAATTCTCATGTCCCACTTCGAGCTGGACGATTAGTTTACACTTAGGTATAATAATTATTAATAATATTGATAAAAAAATAAAAGGTGCAATGGAAAACCAAAGTGAGAAACCGGTTCTAATAAATGTGGGACACAAATTTCTATTCCCGGTACTGCTGCTATTTTTAGTATACAAGTGCTAGAACTTTAACCCAAATACATTGAACTGGAAATGGAGTGGGGAAAAAAAAGGTATGATCATTAAAGAAAGAAGAATAACAGATGCTATTAAAATATTAAAACATTGGTTGATGATAAGATACTATCTCGAGAAAAGAGAAGAAGATCTTGGTGATGCAAGATTGTATTGGCATATCTCTGACAATTATGATCGTCTCATCATATTAATTTAATTTTATATTTTATTATAATTATTAATTATTTTTATATATCTTGATTTGGTGGACAAATTAGTGAGTAGGATTTATGAGAGTCTTATTTGAAGGACTCTCCATCTATTGTTTGAGCAGTTAGTTCTTTAATGAAATAAGATTTGAATGATTTTATCGTGTTTGAGCTAGATTGAGATTTCATTTTTATTTTTTTCATTCGTATGCTACCATACATCAACACATGTCCAAAAAAGCATAATCAAAGTGATGGGAAAGACATAATGATAGAATCAAATGTCATACTTTTATTTATATTATTTTTTAAATTGTGGCACTTTTTAATATAAACTAATAATTAAGCATTTTCACATGCACAAATACAAATAAGATATCATAAGTTGTATATATAGATATCATAATTATGAATTATATAATATGCATATCATATTTTATAATTTTGACTATTAATAAAAATAAACGATCTAATGGTAAAGTATTTTACTTATATATACCATAAAAATGACAGAAAATATAATGAATAATGTATTTATAGAATTAAGGGATCCAAGCCGATTAACTGGCTGAAAAAGTATAAATAATAATAATAATAATAAATAATATTTTATAACTTATTTATCATATAATATTTACTACTAATATTAATCAATTATAAATTCACACTAAAATATTATGCAAATTATACCCTTATAAAAAAATTATAGCAATTTTTTTTCTTTAGTTTTTTTTTTAAAAATTTTAAAATTAATATCATTATTTTATTTATCTCATTAAGACACTTTTTTAATAGCAAATTTGTCCGATACTCAAGACAAAGTCATTCATCCCAATTGCCTCATGGTATAGCAAGTTGCTAAAAAGATCGGTTGATGACAACCGCGAATCTTTAGAAAATCTTTGAATGAATGAATCCATAGTTGCAGAAAACAAGGAAAAGCTTCCAAGCGAACTACAACGTTAATCGCTTTCTTTTCGTTAAAAGTTCGGAAAGAGCTTTACCACAAGAAAGAAGAAGAGTGAAATAGTAGGGAAAGCCCTTAGCCAGACGAGTGCATGACTGATTGATTCTCACCGGGCCTCTTATTATGTATGCCTCACGAACGAAGCTAATACACAAGGGAGACGATGCGTGAACAAGGTCGAACGCGTTCAAACGGATTATTCGAAGGAGCAGTATTGTTGAAATTATTAATGCAGATATAATGATATATATAAATATACATAAAAATACATAATACCAAATGCAAAAAAAGTAAAAAAATAAATGACCATAATAATTAATTTCAACTTCTCAGTGAGTACATTTTAAACCAATTTAAATTTTATATTTTTAAGTCAATAGATTTTTTTATTATTATTAGCAGGTATTTTGGACCGGTATTTTCCGTAATTTACGGTATGATTCCGGTACAAACCGGTATAACCGTAAATCTAATATTTTGTGTGCAATTGTACTATACCAATGGCCGGTAATCGGTATTATCGGTATTAACGGCCGGTACAATACGGTATTTAAAACATGGATATCTCATTAAGAGGGCGAGATGTGTAATCTATAATCAATCAATGTTTTTTTATTTGCCTCGAGATTTTTAAAACTCAGAATAATTTCCAGATTTTATCCAATTTCCCATTTCTTTCCATTTCGCTATATTTAGGCAGTTTTGAATAATTGGTTGCTGAAAGCCTGAAACATAACGATACCATCAACGACAATTTCTATACAAGTAGGGGAATTGAAGGAAATATAATTCATCGCGCAATTATATATAAACGAAAATATTGAAATGATGAGCAAATGCTTCTTGCGTGGTTGTGGTCCAAATATGGAATGCTTCTTATGTTCTTGTTGTCGTTGTTTCCACTTAAATCTAAGTATTGTTTATTTATTATTATTAGTACTAGTACGGTACTCGTACGATGCACGGGTGTATTTATTACTTATTTATTTTTTAAAAGATATATTTGTATTTTATTGTCTCATGCCATTAAAAATTTCATGAAAATGAAATTTATATGTTATTAAACACTTCTTTATGTATAACATTATTGATTTGATTCTTTGGCACGTAAAGTACTACATAGGTGGTTGAATTTATCCAAAATTGCATATTATTAGTTATTAGTTAACAAATTTTTAAAAAAATTAAAAGATCTTATTTATTAAACAAAATTAAAGTAGAAAAAAAAGTAGAATTTTTTAGAGATTTTCACCCATTATTTATTTTAAATCTAATTCTAAATTTCAATTAAGAAAAATTGAAAAGAATCATTAGTTACTCCTGGAAATGAAATCGATTTTCCTACCAATAAATTGATTTTTTATCAAACAAATTGATCCGATTTTTTTTTAAACCAAATAAAAAAATCATCAATTTTTCCTAACAATGCAATCAAATTTTCCTAACATTGCATCGATTTTTATACCAAACAAATTGAATTGAAAATAATTCTAATACAAAATTGAAATAAATTGTTAATGTTTATGCAACTGTCTCTTTATGAACTTAACCAAAAAAATAATGATATGAACTTACCAAAATCTCGGTAAAACATGGTGTAGACATCGAAATTTTAATATTTTATTAATTAATGTCTTTATTTATTTTGGGACATAAATCCAAAATAAATAAGATTTTTAATTAATAAAGTAAATATTTCTTGCCCACCAAGTCAAATCTTAGGATAAGGAAGGAGATTATATCAAATCTTAGGATAAGGAAAGAGATTATATCAAATCAAGAAGGACCAATCAAATTGATGTCTTCTTCTCCAAGACTCTCTCTCCTACACCTATAAATAGGGCTCTCCTCAAAGTCACAAATCACATCTCAAACACCCAAAACATCTCAAATACCCAAATCACACCTCAAACACCTAAAACACCTCAAAAAATCCAATACTTCATAAATCATCAAAGTCTCAATCTAAGAGCTCTCAATAATTCTCTTGAAGATCCAAAGGTGTTTTTGAAGATCGACGACATTCAAGTTAAAGATATAAGAAGAGAAGAATCAGAGGGTTCCATATAGAGATTGTACTCGCATATCGTTTGATCAATATATATTCAAGTTGTACAAAAGTTTTATATTTTTCATAAAATTTGTTGTTACAAATTTGGCACGCCCGGTGGGACATCTCTACCTCTCATCTCTTCTCTTCAACCAAGTTCGAGGATCTTTGAATATGCATGAAGATCTCTTTGAAGACGATGTACAAGGGGGCAACTAGGAACGATGTCTCCTCAAATCATAAAGCTGCCGAAAATCGTCGATGTCCTCAGATTCATGCAAATGGAGGAAACAAAAGTTG